CCTAATGCTGACATAACCTGACCTAACCTAACTTTACCTAACCGCCTCCCAAAATCAGTTTCTGCTTTCTTTGGGTTTCTGCTGAAACTCATTTTGGGAGGCAGTTAGGTAAAGTTAGGTTAGGTCAGATTATGTTAGTTACAAATATATTTCAATTAACATAACCTGACCTAACCTTACCTAACAAATACTGAATTCACAAGACAAAGAAAAATGGGTACTGAGATAACAGGAAAGTACCAATTTTTTTCCTATTCAGAACATCCCTCAGTTTTTCAAGCAATAAAAAAAATCTGAGAACATGCCAGAAAAAGATGATCTGATTAATCATATGGAGTTCTAATATTAAATTGTTTTCCACTCATCAATTTTTAAAATCTCGCTCTTTTTGTGAAGTCCCCGAAAAGTTTGATGTTATGAGACTGTAATATGTATCCGCGTACAACTAGCAAATGTAAACTTGAGTAAATGCAATATATATATTTTTGAACGCTGAAACTGATTCAAGGCAAGTAAAACAATTAATTTTTGTCCCCGTATCTTTAGACTCATATTTCCAGAGAGGCAGATGACGGGCTGATATTTCGACTCATCCACGATGAAGGTGTCGATTTTCTTCGCATTGCTGATCGTCGTCCTCATCCCGGGACAAGCACCAGCAGCATCAACCTCGAACCCATCATCATCACAGCAACCCTTCCTCGCATCCCACATCATTTCCGAGCACGGCATGATTGCTCAGGAACATTTCCCCAGCAGCAACAATAATTCATCAATGTTGTCCTCAAACCCGACCCGGGGACGAATGATAATGAGAACCAAACGCAACGCGATGTTGAGAAGCGGCGAGTTCCCTTGCTACGCCCCCGGGTTCTACCCGAAACCCGGCAGTTGCACCCAGTTTGTCCGCTGCGTGGACTTTCACAACACCGGGCGACACTACACGGTGTTTACGTTTTCCTGCGGACCCGGCACCGTGTTTGACGAACGCATCATCGGGTGTAATCACCCCTGGGCTGTGCCTGGCCTCAACTGCGCACCCCACGAATTGGCGGCCCTCGGGATGACGCCAAAGGGTGGTGGGCATCAACAACAACAACAACAACCGCAGCGAAGGACTCATCCTCAGCAGCAGGCCCCATCAGGAACCCGAAGGGCGCAGCAACCAAAGGGGTACAATAATAACAAAAGACCGCAACCCGCGCCCGCGGGTCGACGGGGTCCACCTGCGCAAAGAAGGCTGCAACAGCCAGTGCCAGTGAGGCCCCAGCAGCCACAAAGACCTGTTCCAGGAAGAAGCCTGGGTCAGTGTGACAATTTATTATATTTGTAAAAAATAATATCAATGAATAATAAAGACACCAGAAGAACTCAAATTACAGCTGAACCTATTTGAGTCAAATTTCAAAGGACCAGAAAAAGCTTTTTGAGTAGGGGGAAACAAGCATTTTTGGTAGAGAAAATAAAGATTACTGTATTTACTCGAGTACCCTGCGCCCTTGAGTAAGGCGCGCACAGGGGTTTTTCAGTTCAAAATTTGGCTTAAATTGTATCCTCAAGTAAGACGCGCACCCCATTTTTAGGGACTCTAAAACCACAAAATTTCAAAAATTGAAACAACAAATTTGACTTTTGATGTGAATTGAACATGAATATGATCAATTTTCAAATTTTGTGGTAAAGAAAAGTTTTCTTGGTACATTTGTCACAAATTTTTCCATTATAATCAACTATAATTAACACACAACTTCCTAAAACTTCTTGAAAACTTTGTACTGTACTTGCTTATGATGCGCACCCTTTCTTTTCTTCTGAAATTTGAGAAAAAAGGTGCGTGTGGTACTTGAGTAAATACAGTAATTCCAGGAAATTCTAATTGGTGGTTTGCCTTAAATTGTTTCTTCAGTGAGTTGACAGGATGCTGAAGTTGAAGGGAAGGGCTCATTTGTCCAATTAATCTTTCAATTCATTTCAGAACCCAGCTATTCACATTTTTATTGGTGCATTTCTCTATACCCCTATGTCAATGCAATGATAGCCTAAATGCCTCCAGGAAACTTGACTTATGGAGATTTGAGGGGAAAAGCCTTTGAGTTAAAGAAGTTGTTGATGCATTGTTTTTTTAGGAAATTCAGACAGAGACTTGAAAAAATTAACTTATGGATATACAGTATTTGAAATTGGGAGATTTCAGTTATTGAGGTTCAACTTTACCTTACTTACTGCAGTACCACATGCATGCCTTTTTTTAATTAAGAGCAAAAAAAGAGCATGCAAGTGATTAGCGGGTACAACATTTTAAAAACTTCAAGAAATGCAAGTGTATTGGTGAGTTATTTGTGTGAATGACATTTTGAGAATCTTGAGCAAATTTTTGAGAGCTAAATTCATACAAAATAATTGAAGCAGGTGAAATATGTCAGATGATAACACAGGAGGACTCTCTGTACTACAAAATTCAAGGGACCAAAAAAATGCATTGTAGAGATGATTCTGTTGTGGAAAACCAGTATAACATAAGAGTAAGAACCCCCTGTGGGACCAAATAAAATTTATTTATACAGGTAAATTTGTTGTAGACTAGATTGCTGTAGAGAGAGAGAGTCCACCTGTATAATACAAGAATTGAAGAACAACCAGTTTTCAGGTTAAATTTAGGCATAAATTGAATTTTGTAGATGCAGTTTATTCTTTCAATATTAAAATTCTTGAAGGACTCAAGAGTGGAAAGCGCATCTGAATTCGGAATACATTTAAAGACCAATCTTGGAAAACAAAGTAAAAATATCCACTTTCATTGAAAAATTTGAGTTGGTTACACTCGTTACAGAGCCTCAACTGTCAGTTGATCAAATATGCTCATACCATATCTAATGATTACTCCAATGAAAAAAAATACGATTTCTGCTGTACACCATGAAATCTTTGCCAAAGGAAAAAAATACTCTTCAACAAAGAAGTTACCCCAAATACCCAAAAGTTTTAGAATAACATATTCAAATTGAATTATTTTTCAACAGGTCAGGCCCAGGTCGTGGGAAAAAAACCGGCTCATCCCTCAAGAAATGCTGCAAGACCTCCTGCGAAAGCAGCTCCACCAAAGAGACCACTTCCAAAAGCAACACCTCGACAAGGACCACCACCACCAGGAAAATACCCAGCTCAACCACGAGTGGCACCTAAGAAACCACCTCCAAAAGCAACACCTCGACAAGGACCAGCACAAGGAAAATATCCAGCTCAACCACAAGTGGCACCTAAGAGACCACCTCCCCCAGGACCAGCACCAGGAAAATCCCCAGCTCAACCACAAGTGGCACCTAAGAGACCACCTCCAAAATCAACACCTCTCCAAGGACCCGCACCAGGAAAACCCCCAGCTCAACCACGAGTGGCACCCAAGAAACCACCAGCAAAAGCAACACCTGTAAAACCAAAAGCTGCCCCAAAAGCAGCAGCAGCTCCACAAAAGGCCAAGAAAACTCCTGCTCAGCCAAGACAACCGCAACCAAAACCTGCGGCAAAGAAGTCCCCCAGACCAATTACACCCACATCTGGAAAGAAACCAGCACCAGCAGTGGCACCAGCAGGCAAGAAAAAACCCAATGGGAAACCAAAACCTGCCCAGCAACAGAAAAAGAAACCAGCACCAAAAGCCAGTCCACCAGTGAGCAGAGCTCAGTTAGGCAAACCCAAACCCAAACCACAAGCCCCAAAACCAGTTTCAAAGCAGGTGCCCCAAAGGTTGGAACCACCTCATGGAGAAACAGGAGGAACCCCAGGAAACATGAACATCAAGCCTCACATCACTTGCACTGCCCCAGGGTTTTACCCCAATCCAGGGTCTTGCACCAAATTCTACAGATGTGTTGATTGGAATAATGATGGTTCCAACTTTGGCTTCTTCCAGTTCACATGTGGTCCAGGAACCATGTTCAATGATGAACTGGACACTTGCACTCATCCTACATCTGATGCCATGACAGCGTGTCCAGCCAGTGAAATGGATTCCTTATTCCCACAGCCAGAACCTGAGCCATCAATTAGTAGTAGTGGTGCTGGTGGTGGCACCAGTGCTGGAGTTGCTCCAGTGGAACCAGTAGCATCAGACACCCCAGTTGAGATTCCAGATGAGCAGAGCACAGAAGGAAATATCATCCCTGTGGTGGAAACTTCTCCTACTCCAGTGCCCACAATAATACTTTCCACTGAAACCTATGCAACTGAACCTGCATATGGCCCTGGTGAGGAAGTTGGTATTCCACCTGGACAACAACCAGCACCTCTTAGCACTGAGGGCAATGTGACTGTGGAATATCCCCTGCCTTGTGAGGAACCTGGAGTCTATCCTGTGCCAGGGTCTTGCAACAAATTCTATAAGTTGGTATTCCACCTGGACAACAACCACCTCTTAGCACTGAGGGCAATGTGACTGTGGAATATCCCCTGCCTTGTGAGGAACCTGGAGTCTATCCTGTGCCAGGGTCTTGCAACAAATTCTATCACTGCAGTTTTGATTCTGGAAATGCCCCTGTTGTGGCTGCCTTTGAATGCCCACCAGGGGAAGCATTTGACCAAGCTGGGCTTTCATGCACTGGACACACTGACAATTTGAACACAAACAAGTGTCCTTATGATGAACTGGAGACCATATTTGGAGATGATCCTGCACAGGGTGTGACTCAGGAGGCTCAGCTGGGTGATACAGGCACAACTGAGCCACCTTTGGTACATACTGAGGCGCCATCATGGAGTGCTGATGAGCAGCAAGTTGCGCCTTCTGATGTGCCTGTGGAACAACCATGGAGTTCTGGGCAAGAAACACCTATTGCTGAACCTGTTCATCAGCCACAGCAGCAGCAACCATGTCAGTCAGCTGGTGGAAAGCCTGTTTGTTCGCAGGAAGGATTCTTCCCCTATCCTGGTACAGAGTGTCGAAAATTTTACAGGCAAGTGATCTTCAACAATTTCAGTGGGTCCCTGCATAAAAAAAAACTAACCCATTGTTAAATGCGTTTTGTTCATGCAAAATCTTGAGAGCTCTTGAATAATAGCTAGAAATTGGTTTCCCTTGTCCAATCCAAACGGATTGGACAATATTTCATTGTCTGCTGTTTTTGACTCTAATAAATTAAGGACCACAATGAAATTTAAAAACTGTGTATTCTGCTAGTCTTAAGCATAAAATTTTAGATTCAACATTCATTAATATGAATTGGAGTAATCCTCAGGACTTTCTGCTTTTCCATTTTCGAAATTCTCAAATAATATAAAAGAAGCAAAACTATTTACTCTTCTTTCTTTTTTTACATTGATGGTTTGAAACATTTTGAAGTTTTAGCTTAAAAGTATTGTAGAATCTTGTTTTAAATTTTTATCTTTACAACAAATTAATGCTCAATACAATTTCTGTCCCTGTCCAATAACAAAAATGTTTTTTAATTTTGTTTTAACAAATTCTAATTTATTACAGAGGTTTTTTAATGTCCCGAGAACATTGAATGACAAGATTCTACTTGATTTAAATGTTCAATATATATGTTGAATGAGAAAACTGATGCAGGGAGGAATTACATGTTAATAATCCACCAAATATATTTCAGCTATTGATGCTTGAGTTGTGAATGTTAAAAACGAATGAGCTTCTAGTTCATGAATTCACTTCATGTTTCATGTCAAACTCAATATTTTTCAGATGTTGGGAGAGTTATCCTGGTGTATATTCACAAGCCTCCTTTGACTGCCCTGCTGGAACCATGTTTGATGACAGCCTTGATGTGTGTAACCATCTTTGGGCTGTCACATGTCCAAAAGAAGAATGTGCTGAAGAGCAGGCAGTTCCACCATCAGATTCTGCTACTGTGGACTGCGCCCAGCCTGTGACTGATGCTACTCTGTGCAAGTACCCTGGCTTTTTCAGGACCCCTGGAACATGCAACAAATTTTACAGGTTTGTTTAATGCTTTTAGATGAGACCCCCAGATGCAGACATAATTGGTGCATCAAGAGTGTCCCTATGTCGGATTGTCCCCAAGTCAAATCTTGTTTTCCCATAGACTTACATTGTATAATTTTTAATTGGTGTTTTTAGGAAGAAACATTCTTCAGAATTTCATGAAAAAAATGTTTGCCAGTTGAATTTGATTCAATGAATATCTTTTCAAACCAATGAGAACATTTGGAACATTGAATAGTGTACCTCTGTACAGTAAATTGAAAAGTTGGCATCTGGAAAAATAAAATCTACGACGACAACTCGTTTTTCAGGGTATCGACAGTTCGTTTCGTCGACTTCTGGATCTCCTCGGTGATCGACGACTGTTCCGACCACCCTGATAGTTAGCAACATGCACAAACAACGGGAAGACACTCTGTTTTAGTCAACATCGAGGGCAGAAAATACGTGAATTTCACTGGACATGACCGAAAAATTAACAAAAAATGCAACTTTTTTTTTACAACCCAAAAAAAAAACCAGCATTTTGCTGCTCTATCTCTTTCTTGAGAAGTGTCTCAAAATTGATTCTCAGCATAATTATTCAAGGCATACAGTATACAGGACTGTGCTTGCAAGACCAAACGATATTACTGTATGTGTAGCAAGAATTTTTAAATCCACATGACTATTTCAAATCAGTGAGACCCCCAGATGCGGAAATAATTGGTGCATCAAGAGTGTCCCTATGTCGGATTGTCCCCAAGTCGAATCTTGTTTTCCCATAGACTTACATTGTATAATTTTTAATTGGTGTTTTAAGGAAGAAACATTCTTCAGAATTTCATGAAAAAAAATGTTTGCCAGTTGAATTTGATTCAATGAATATCTTTTCAAACCAATGAGAACATTTGGAACATTGAATAGTGTACCTCTGTACAGTAAATTGAAAAGTTGGCATCTGGAAAAATAAAATCCATGTCACAAAGAGAGCTAGAAGGAAGTCCCTCTGTGCTATAGGGCATTTCTTAAATTAGCTGAATGGATCTTGTGCTATAGGGCATTTTTTAAATTAGCTGAATGGATGGGAAAATGATGGGAAAAGTACCAAAGAATTTTTCTTGCATATATCTCAGGTTGGAAACATCTGTTTCTTGCAATTCAGCCTTATAAAAATCAATTTTTCCAAAATTTATTTTGGAATTTTATCCTGCAATGTCCCCCGGTTGAGTCAATGTCCTCATGTCGGGTCTTTTTTATGATTTTTTTTGTTTAAAAATAAATGTCCCCAGGTCGAATCGTCCCCATGTCGAGGCGTCCGCATGTGGGGGTCTCACTGTATTTTTGTGCATAAATGGGAATGCTAAGCTGAATTTTCTTCTATATAATCTTGTCCTTTTACATTGCAGATGCTGGTCCGTGGGCAGCTCTTACCAAATTGCTCACTTTGACTGCCCTGCAGGCACTGTTTTTGATGAAAATTTGAGTGTCTGCAATCATATCTGGGCTGTGTCTTGCAATGAACAGACTGTCCATCAGGAGGTCTGCAGTGGTGTCCCACAGCAGATATCAGGATTTCCTGATGATTCCATTTCAGCACCTCTTGAACCCAGCCCAGTGGAACCAGAAATCCCAACTCAGGCTCCTGTTGTACCCAGTTCACCAGCAACTGAAGCAACCCCTTTGCCACAAGCCAGTGATGATCCATCAGTAACAGCCAGTGAGCCTGCTGAGATTTCTCCCACTGAAAGTAGTGCACCAGCATCAGAAGCCACAGAAACTACTGATTCAGCTACAGCAAGTGAGCCTCAGAGTACAGAGGAAAATGCAACTGATTCTTCAGCATCAGAGGCTCCATCTGAAAGCTCACCAGCATCTGAAGAGACTTCAGAAACTGCAGCTGATGACACTTCAGCAACACCTGAGTCAACCTCTGAAGTTCCAAGCTCATCAGAACCCTCATCCTCAGATGCTACATCTGAAACTTCTTCTACAGAAGAATCTTCTCCAGTCAGTGAAGCAACTGACACCCCAAGCAGTACAGCAAGTCCACTGGAACTGAATTGTGAGTCAGAGGGCTACTTTCCTGTGGAAGGGTCATGCAAGAAGTTCTACAGATGTGTGGACCTCACTGGAGAGGGCAAAGAGTTTAAACCATTCATCTTTGTTTGTGGACCAAAAACAGCGTATGACCCTAACCTGAATGTCTGTGTGCATCCTGAAACACTGCAACCCCCACAAGAATGCCCTGAGGATGGCATTGCAGTACAACCTGATCCAAGCACAGGAATGGCTGATGAACTTGAAGCTGGCGTGGCACCTCCAGTTGAGTGTACTGAAGAAGGCTTTTTCCGGAATCCTGCTCAGTGCAATGAGTTCTACAGATGTGTGAACACCAACTCAGCCTTCTCAGCTTACAGCTTCACTTGTGGCCCTGGAACAGTTTTTGATGACACTTTGGATGTCTGTGTTAGAGAGGAAGATGTGCAACCTCCTTGTGGATCTGAGTCATCAACTCCAGTTTCCTCATCAGGATCAGATCAGGCAACATCTGAAGCCAGCAGCACTGAGTCCTCTCAAGCTTCATCAGAAGCTTCAAGTGAGGATCAAACTTCTGAACAAAGCTCTGTCCCCACAGATGTCACAGAGGCATCATCAGAAGCCACCTCTGATTCAAGTTCTCCAGCTACTGAATCATCTTCACCATCATCAATTGATGCATCAGAGTCAGATGCTACCTCTGACTCCAGTTCTCCAGCTACAGAGGCATCTTCACCATCATCAAGTGACACATCAGAATCAGATGCCACTTCTGATGCTAGTTCTCCAGCTACAGAGGCATCTTCACCATCATCCAGTGACACATCAGAATCAGATGCTACCTCTGACACTAGTTCTCCAGCTACAGAAGCATCTTCACCATCATCCAGTGACACATCAGAATCAGATGCCACCTCTGATGCTACTTCTCCAGCTACAGAAGCATCTTCACCATCATCAAGTGACACATCAGAATCTGAGGCTAGTTCTCCAGCTACAGAAGCATCTTCACCCTCATCAAGTGAAACATCAGAATCTGATGCTACCTCTGACCAAAGTTCTTCCCCCACTGAATCATCTTCACCATCATCAGAATCTGACGCTAGTTCTCCAGCTACTGAAGCATCTTCACCATCATCAGAATCTGATGCTAGTTCTCCAGTTACTGAAGCATCCTCCCCATCAAGTGACACATCAGAGTCAGATGCTACCTCTGATTCAAGTTCTCCTCCTACAGAGGCATCCTCACCATCATCAAGTGAAACATCAGAATCTGATGCTACCTCTGACCAGAGTTCTTCCCCCACTGAAGCATCTTCACCCTTATCCAGTGAACCAACAGAGTCAGATGCTACATCTGATTCCAGTTCTCTGCCTACTGAGTCATCCTCACCATCAAGTGACACATCAGAATCAGATGCTACATCTGATTCAAGTTCTTCACCTACTGAAGCATCTTCACCCTCATCAAGTGAACCAACAGAGTCAGATGCTACATCTGATTCCAGTTCTCTGCCTACTGAGTCATCCTCACCATCAAGTGACACATCAGAATCAGATGCTACATCTGATTCAAGTTCTCCAGCTACTGATGCATCAGAGTCTACCTCAGTTGAATCTTCAGCATCAACTCCAGCCACTGATTCATCAGATGCTTCCAGTGAACCATCTTCTGATGAGACAAGTGAGCCATCAACTACAGCTCAGCCCATGGTAATGTTCTCCTTGAAGTGCGGATCTGGTAATAAACAACAGCATCCTGTTCACTGCAATCGTTTCTATGAATGCAACTTCAATGGTTGGGACATTTCCTTGGTGGTCAGTCAGTGTGACCCTGATACAGTGTTTGACGAAGAAAATCAGGAATGTGTACCAGAATTGGATCTTAGAGGAGGTAAGATAAATGTCTCAGCTCACTCCTGTTTCAGTGAATCATTTGACATGTGATGATGTCATGGAATTTGAAATTTTGTGGAATCGTGCTTTCCTAATTATGTAATCAAGCATCTACTTATAGGACTTCATTTTTCAATTCAAACCTTGCATTTTAAATTTTATTTTCGCATGAAATAAACCCAAAATCTCTTTATATTCAGGAGTGAAGAAGAATGGCTGCACCATTGCAACTGGTCCTCCACCAGCAGCAAGGCGAAAGAGAAGGAACATTGAATCATCCGATCATGCGCATGGGTTCATATTCAACAGTTTCTTTGTGAGCTTCAATACAACCCACATGGCTTAGTATATAGAAATGAACTTGTTTTTTCCCTCCACCAGATCACTGAGGGGAAACCAATTTACTGCAATAAACCTGGACTCTTTTCTCTGGAAGGCGATTGCAATGCTTTCTACAGGTGTCAAAATCACAGCAATGCAGTCGTTGAAATTCAAGAACAGCTGTATCCAAGAGGTGAGTGAAGTACAGTATTGAGAAAGTTATGCATTTGAAGGGTGCCCAGAAAATGCTCGAACACATTGTTTGACCAGAAATACCTGAAACTGAATTTGTCTAGTAATTAAAATCAAGAATCAATCAATTTCAATTGGATTTCATTCATGAGTCCTATCAAGGTTGTAATTCATTAGAAAAAGTGTAGCTCTGAAAGAGCGTCCCAAAATTGAAACTTGTGTTCAAATTTTATTAAGCATAAAAAGTACTTCACATTACCCTTCTTGAAAAACCAAAATTTGACCTTATTCCACCATTCATGATTTTGAAGATATTGCGGTTCAGATTAATTATTCAGTATATCTGGACCTTCTCAAACAAAAGCCATAACAGTCATAAAAGAACAGATAAAGCTTTACAATTAATTATACATTATTCTAATTGGAGTGTATTTAAATTTGATTTGAGCTCAAATTTAGCTCTCTCGTACAGTATTTTAAATACTGTTCTGTACTGCATTCGTATTTTAAAATGTGAGCTCAATTTCACAGACCACCCTTCATACATTTTTAACTAATTCCATGCGTGTTTGCAGGGGAAATTTGGAGATGTCCTGAAGGCACTTCATTCCATGAAGAAGTGCAGCAATGCATGAAACCTCAGGTCCCAAGTTGTGTTGATGACAACAAACTCTCACTGGTTTACATTGAGTACAATCCAACTGAGCTACAAAATGCTCCAGTTGCACATTGGGCAAATTTTCAATCATGAGCGCTGAAAGCCTGGCGCTGGTTCTGTGATGTCCTACTTCCTTATGAGGCTGCTGCTATGGGGTCACGGTAATGCTGGAGGGGAATATGTGTAATTATTTCCATGTGCCATTTGGAGCTTCTGCATGTTTCAAGTCTTTCTAAAATTCCATTCAACTGCATGCAACCGATTCAGATCAATTTTGAACTACAAGGCTGCCAAAAGCTGGACAAATTTTGATTTGTGTGTGAGTGACTGTGATAGGGTGCTGATCATCAAAATATGCGGGAAAAAGTTTGCTCATGTGTCTGTCTTTCATGGAAGAGCCATTTTCTAAGGCATTGAACAGTAGGGGGAATGCGACATAAATTGACGTGGTATTCGCATTCCCCCAATGAGTGTGCAGAAGGATGCATATATTTTTTCCTCAGAAGCTAATCTGGCATTGCATGAAGTTTCAATGGTCTCCTCAGAAATTTGCTGAATGACGCATTTGTGAAATCGTCAAAAAATCACCGTATGTCTTTTGCCCTGGAAATGTGAATAAAATGTTTCTATCAAATCGTGAGAACCAGATACCTTCGGCGAGAAGAAAAAAGAAAGATTACGCAGAATGTATCTAGTAACAAAATCGTGACAAAATGTATCCCAATGCACATAAGAAATGTACCGATTCACATGTGCGGAGCCCAACCCATGAACATCTGGCACAAATTATCAACATTAGTCGCCTCTTGAATTACATGATTAACGTGTCCCTCGATAGATAGTGGCAACTTGGAAACGAGTTGCGGACGACCAGCGGGCTGCGCACTTCCCCGGTATTGTCTCACTCGCAAAACTCCCCGAATTCGCTCTTCAACATCCAGAACAACAGCATTAGCTCGTTCCAGAACCCTGGAAATTCATAAATGGACGTCATTTTTCATTTCTATTAACTACGAGAAAAGAAAAACTAACGAGTGAAGGAAAACAACACAGAATGACGACAGGGTTCGAAAAATAAGCCCAGGTATAAACTCGAACTACGAAGAAGACGTAAAAGGAAACCTAAAATCTTTTTTAAAACCGGATTATTCTATCCCGAGAAACTACTGCATTTAAAATTATTATACTGACGAAATCCAATATGAGTGAAAATTTTCTTTATCGGAATACATTTAAATTCAAAACTATTCCCGGAGATTTAAAAAAAAAAAAGGCACGGAGGACGTCGTTGGAAAACATGCCGTCATGATCACGTTCAAAAATTACGTGTTTACTACCATGGAAGAAGAGATTTTCCTTCAAAGCAGTTGAAAATTCACCAGCGGGAAAATGGCCACGGAAAAACCTGAATATTTAAGGGCCTGAATTTAATAAATGAAAAATTTCAACACTAGATCTATCATAATAACCATAAAGAAGTCACTTACGGTATTTCTGAGGTTTCAGTTATCATAGAGAAGCCCAATCATTGAAGAAACGATTAATTTACTGAAAAGACTCACCCAGCTTCATGCGACGGGTCCTTGGAGCCGCGTCTAGGCGGCCCGACCAAGTCCAATGACGGGTCATACACGAACGATTGCAGCACGGATACAAAAGAATCCCGATGCTCTCTCACCACTCTCAACGTGGTCTCGCACCCACGGCGAAATGCACCCTCGTAACCCGTGGGACCCATGGCACCCACGATGTTGTGCGTCAGGCGAAAAGGAACTCGTTCCGGTACCTAAAAAAAATCATAGCATTCCGAAAACGTTAGTTGACTTAAGATTGCCAAATTCGAATTGTTCTCTACCACATATCAAGGCAGTTTTTGGATTTGATAACAAAGATGCAAGGGTGTCTTCTAAAAAATATTTGACCCTTCTCAACTTGAAATTCAACACCTTGAATTCAAAAACAACGCGAAGTATACTCCGCTCACTGCTTGAGAAAAAGCGAAGGTCACGAGTTTACTCAACAACTCTCGTATCATTTTAAAATTCGATCAATGTCCTCGTTAACTAAGGCAAAAACACAATATTTTATGTATCACTTTTTCGCAGTTCCAAACATGATCTATATAAATAAAGATAAACTGCATTCCCTGACCTCGAACAATTCCCCGCGGTTGAACAAGCAGTTGAAGTCGACGTGCATGACGTCACCCGTCACGGCATCCATCAGAATGTTCTCACAATGTCTGTCACCGAGACCAAGAATGTATCCGATAATGGAAATAACAGACGTCGTCCGAACAAAAGCGGAACGAGCAGCGTACCTTCATCAGTCCAAAAAAAAATACAAACAGTTTTGTACAGTATTGTATTCATGAGTACGGTATATAAGAGCGGACAAAAATCATCATAAGCCTGAGAACCGATCGGGAGGGTTACGGGAAGAGTGCGACATCTACACGAACGAAACCCAAAACATTTTCAGATGAAAAATCCTCAAGGTTTAACAATGAGGGAGATGTCGGGCGCATGCATTACACTTTTCACGTGAAAAAGCACACACAGTTATAGAGCAATAATCTAGATTTTAATTTACTATACTGTACTACAAAATTCAAAATATTGGCCGCATGGGAGACTTCAGCGCGACCCATACGCAGCACCAGAAATTATTCTGAATTTGAAATATGCGACCGGCATGCGCGTGAATATGATCAAGTCACAAAGGATACCCGATTTCTGCAACTTCTCGCATGAACAATGGCCTATTTGAAACCCATGCTTACCATGCCTGCGGATCGGGGAAACTGGTTTGAAACCAATACGGCAGAACAGTCGGATAACGCGGCAAAATTGTGTTCAAGAACCAATCTCGCTTCTTCTCCAACGGGACATTGTTCGCCAACGCATGCTTCCTCACGTAGTCCACTTCAGAAAAATCAAAAACAAAGATTTACCTCTCTAAAAAGCAAGAGAAAAAATCGCTGTATCCATCGATTAGAAGAAAAAACCTGACTGAAACGTCTCGAACGAAAAAAATTGCCGACAAATTCAAGATTCCCAAGTTACACAAAAAGTAAGAATCTCTATCGAACCGGGTGAACTGAAAAGTCGTACGATTTAAAAAAAATACTTTATCTCTTCAACCAATGAACCACTGATTACAATACGTGGACTTTCAAAATGTAGACTGAGCAGGATATAGATGCAAACGGGATGAACTATTTGGCAACTTTCTTTACTGAAAAAATTTTGTAGAGGTCTGACCATTGCTTTTATGACCATCATTCCAAAGACAATTCAACGAGACAGTTCCACATTTTATTGATTGCTACAGCCTATGTTCATACAATAACAAGCAATACTGTTATTGTAATTCTTTGTTGTACCCAATGTACTCATGCTTCATCCGAAGATGCTGACATTCGATAAGCCCATCTCAAGAAGTTAGGTTCAATTTCTCACTAATGCGGTACACGGAATGCTGTATAATGACTAACCATGCATGTAATGAATGAAAATAATAATTTTTAAAATGTGAATAATAAATAGTGGCCTTACGCATTGCACCGCGCTGCAAATATTGATCATTCAAAATCTGCCGCAAGGTGAGACAATTCGGCACCCATTCGATAATTCCGCAGTCCTCATTCAATGGCGAGACGTGCTGCAACGATTGAGGTCAAAATGCATCATACACGTAAAAATATATACTGCAATCAAAGAGACAATTTTCGCTATTCAGTTTCACTAAGCGACTCACGTAAGTCCGTATTTGTAAAGCTTTCTTCCGAGCCTCTGCATCTTGTTTTAAACACCGATTCACCAAATTCGTGAACTCCAGGAGACGACAGTCTTTCCTCAAATCGTCCTGAAACAATGAGACGTGTTAGTATCATCTTTCAAGGTTTACAAAATTCGTAGAAATTCATTTTAAAAATCTATGCTTCTCCACTCACGACGTTACATGCTGCAATATCGGCAAGGTGACATCTATACTAGTAATCGTAACACAAATAACCATAAGAATGAACCAACCTAAATTGCATGACAACTTAGCAAAGCACTCAAAAATCTAGCATAGTTTACCCAGAACAACCTCCAAGGAATACCGAAGAACTTAGGCAAAACTTGCCAAGAAAACTTGCACAGAAATATGTTTGGCATGGAAATCTGCAGAAAAAAAAAAACTCGGTTCAATACTCACTCTAGCCTTGCATAAGAATCCATATATTTTCCCATCGGAACCCACGGCAGAAATTTTCTTCGGCATTTGCAAGGACTTCATCACAATCACTTTTTCTTCAAAATTTTTGAAGTAAACCTCTCGCCTGTTGAAAAAGGTACAGGAAAAGATCCAGTCACTCCGAAAATTTTTCAAAGCTCCAATGGAAATTGTAAAAAAAAAAACCATTGTAGGAAGGAAGAACTTACTTGGGAAATGGATGATAAGCTTTCCAATCATGCGATCGGTTCCGTTTGCACTGCCATTGAGTCGCCAGATTGACATTTGCGTCGTCAGACTCGTCCAAAGCTTCTCCAGGTCCACTCGGAAACGTGACCGACATCAACGACGAAACGGGAATGAGTACTTGGGAAAATGTCGCGCTTCCCAGCAACTTCACCAATTCCGGAAAATGTGTCGACATGCTCAGAGGCCCTTTCTACAAATAAAGAAACATACACACGAAAAGCAATTCATTAGCTTTCTTTCCACAAACGCAAAATTCTGAGATATCTGAAAAAATGTTCCTACTGGAACTTGCAATTGCCACTTCCTAACATTGAAAACAACTTGAATATTGTACTAGTGATCATTCGAGAGCATTGTTGGAAAATGCTTCGGGTAATTTTCGCGACACTTCGTCGCACTGCGACTTCAAAATAAATCATAAGTGATCAACTTTGAAATCAAGCACGAACGGAATATGCAATGAATGATACACTGGTGGTTGTTTTGCTTTTTGCAATCATCCCTAGACGTTGTTATGGGAAATTTTTTTGGGATTGGGTTGTCATTTTTTCTGGATTTATGAATTTAATTAGCCTTGAAAAATGCTATTAAGAAATTTCATCGTTTCACTCTACAAATACTGTACAGTACAGTATGGACTAACCATGAGTCACATCTGAGTGGATCTGAATTGGGAAGTCTCACATTGATGATAAAATTTTATGTGAATGATACATTTGACCTCAATCGTTGCAGCATGTCTCACCGTTGAATGAGGAACACAGGCTCCTTTTTTTTTTTTAGAGAGAGATACGAAATATTCCGACAATCCTTGGAAATTTCATCAATTATAACCGCATTACTCTTGCTCGAAATATTGAGGGAAAAAATCCTTTTGAAGGAAATCGGACATTCCCAAAAATTTATCATCTTTTTTTTGGCCTGCACAGTGTCTTGCAAGTCTCAATATTTTTGAAGTTAATCCAAAGCCAATACAAGAATCATGGTTTTCTTTCAGCTACAACAGTCTTCGAAGGTAATCAGACATTCCTAAAAATTTATCATTTTCTCTTCAACATGCAGTGTCTTGCAAATTACAATATTTTTTAAGTTACTCCAAAGCAATTCACAGAAGCACAGTTTTCTTTCAGGCTTTCTCTCCGTCTACAGCAGTGGCACCTCGCTTCTCAAAGTGACTAGAAATTTACACTCACTAAACCACCGCCGCTACTCCCAGGTGTTTTGAGTCCATGCTCAGACAGCTTCAAAAGCAAATCTGAAAACGTCAATGTGTCGTCCATGACTTTGCTGACTTGAGTCCTCGTGTCGGCAGGCAGCCGCTGCTTGGCCGTCTGCAGAATCTGATGACACCGATTCCGTCGCACATCGTGCGACGACTTAAGTACCGCGAGCAGCATCCAAATGGCTTGTCGGTAGTAAGTACCGACCAATCTCGCAATCCAGGTCCTCAAAGCGTCGTAGACCACGTCGGACGGGTGGCAGATACGGGATAACAGCTGGTTGAAGCATGTCATGAGGACGAAGTTTGGCAGGGAATCGAATGTTTCCGCTGAAAATTAAGCACGAAAGAATTTTATGATAGTGTATCTGGAACATGATTCCTGGGGATCATTTATTCATGAATTTCCTCCCAAACCTGTTTCTTCGACGATAATTTGGACATACTATAAATGGATCATTTTACTGGGCACTGCACTTCACAGGGTATAATTCAATTATACTATCAACAAATTTCAAGTATTTTCAAGAAGGGGATTTTTAAAATACAGTAATGTACTAATACTCGATTCCAGACAGGTTTCAACCCAAAAAGAAGTAAATAAAATCAAACATACACAATCGACACTCAAGTCCAACATTTCTAGGAATTTCAGTGGCACGTACATGATAAAGGCAGCAATTAAACCCAAAATTGAAGAAAAAAATCGGGATGAGTAAAATTTCAAGTTGGAATTTTGAATGAAGGTTCGTACCACCCGACATTTTCAAAAATATTGTAAGCACTCAAATCGGGCGACAATTTTCGGGTTCAACCGGTACATCTGAAGATTTAAAAAAATAATTTCCTTATCGATCGGCCCTGAAATTACAAAATTTACAAAAATAAGCGATTAGAAAGCTTCGATCAGGATTTCAGTAAAAACAATTTCAACTACTCTACTTACAAACGGTTTTCGTCAGTTCCTTCAGATTCTGCTGGACTCGCATAATGCTTTGAGCATTACTGGCTGTTCCGGATTTACTAGAACTGGACCGAACGGTTTCAATCGCTGTACCGAACTCCATCCACAAGGTCAGCAATCGGGGTAAAGCTTCGTAAACATGACGGAACCCGTAAACCAGGCTCTTTCCATACGATGTGACAATCGTGTGCACCAGGTCCCTGGGATTTCAATGAACAACATTCAAGGAATTGCAGCGAAAATCCTTCGAGTACAGTACATTCAAACATGAGTTTGCCCTTGTTGCATGAAAAAATAATAATATCAACGCAACTAGAACAAATTTTAACTCAAAATTGCAATGTCTCGGTATTTTATTTTTCGTGGAATTTTGGAGTCTATACGGAGTCTAAATAGCTATTGTAAATGAATACGGTACTGTACTCAAAAATTTTAGATGCAATAATAATGACATCGATCGTACTTACGGCTGAAGCTCTCGGCTACGATCGCCTTTTGAAGAATGCACCTTGTCAAGATATTTGGCCAGATAAAAATACCCTTGTTCCCAATCAGAACTCATCTGACAAACTCGCTCGTAACTCGATCGGATCTTTGCAGAGTCCTGATAACCCGCTTCCTCCCAATACTGCGTCAGCAACAGTCTTGTCTATTAAAAAAAAGGAAATCGATGCATTAACACATTGTGAAAAATGATACTTAATCTATTAAAAAAGGAAATCGATGCATCAACACATTGTGAAAAATGACATTTAATAAAATTAAGCGGGGCTTTTAAACAGCTTGGAGAGGGGCATCGTCCTGGGATGCAAAACCCCAGAAAGGCGAGTGGTGTGGCCAAGGGTTAAATTCATACATTCTTTGTTGCCAAGGCCACATGGATAGTCATTGCGGGCCACGATAGACAATAATTTTTTAGGTTCCAAAGTTTCCCGTTTAAAATTAAAAGTTTCAAATTTAATTCGGTGCGCATTGAATCATTGAATCATAAGCATGGTTTCATAGAATTCTCAAAGGGTGGAGAAACATTTCGGATTATAGAATTCATTTTTCAATATATAGTATATAATATTTTGAATAGTGTTGGCCGCAACATTGAAAATTATACGGACGGGACCACGGAATGGAGGAAGTCTCTGTGGGCCAGATCTGGCCCACGGGCCGTTTGTTGAGCAGCAATGCCCTAGACCCAAGTTTCCAATTCTCAAATCCGAACTTCTGAAGAATTCAGTAATCTCCAGAATACCAAATGCTGCAGTCAATTACAAAATTACACATTAATTCGTGTTCCGATCATCCGCGCGCGCATTTTCATTGATTCAGTATGAATTGAAAGAGCAGCATACGCCTGAATTACAACTTGAGCCTGTTCATTTCCTTTGATGGACTGATTAACTGTGCTAAAATACTTCAAATTGTCGGGAATATAATTAAAAATGAAATATTTCATTTTTTTAAATGTTCGCCCATTGTACATTATTTCTTTGCAACACTTATAAAAAAGAAGCCTGTCATTAGCATGGAAAATGGGAATTCTAGCACATTCTCACCATGGCAGCCATGTCTTTGTCTACACTGATGTCGGCGTCTGCACCTTGAGGAGTCAGGTAAAATTCGACGCTGGAGTTGAGCAGTCGCATGGCTTCTTCCTGATTGCCATTTTTCCAGTCCAGTTTTGCTTTTTCGATCAGTACTTCAGCACGTAGCAGACTCGCCGCCGAGCCTGGCTCGGCATCAATAATCGGTCTTTCAGCATTCAAGAGACACGAATACGCCCGATGATAATGCTGTGACCTGATGACGGAGAAACATTACAATGAAAATGTCAAGGGAAGAAGAAATGCAGGTAGAATCTCTATACGAAGATTTTTTTCGTCGACGATTTTCTCTATGCAACGATTTTGTTTTGGTGCCATTATAGTTCTCTAATCATCGAATAGGGGTCCTTAAAACGAAATTCTCTTCAAAAAATTGTTTTCCTTGTTCCTTGAATTTCGTTTTACAGTTTTTAATAAATTTATTTTTCAATCTCTATACGAAGAAATTCCCTTCACAACCAATTTTTCTCTGGTCCCCCAATTTCGTTGCAAAGAGAGTTAAAAAAAATAATAAATAAAAAAATTAGGGGAATAAATCTCTAAAATCTCACTTTCTCGCGGCTTTTGCGCTAAGCAGCCAAGAACGGTCGATTTCGTCGTTGACTCGGCGCACCAACGAATCTCCGTCATTTTTGGACGACGCAACAGACGCCAAGAGTCCCAACGTAGACCTACGCAACGCCTGCAAAGGCTCTATGACACGTAAGCTGTGCTGAACCAGTCCAGCCCTCGAGTTCCACGAAGATACGAGTTTTTCCAGTTGGTAAATGCGTTCCGCTTCCGGACGTCGTTTCTGCCACGAATCCTTCCAACGAACAAGTACCTTCAAGCCAGCCTCCATCTCGTGGACTAAGTGCAGTCTTTGATTTCGAAGAAAAAAGGAAGAAAAGCTTTGGTTCAATAAAGAGAAGATGATCTGCGGCCACCAACACGAAGACGGAAAGAAATCGACATCTCTTCAGACTGAAACAAATGACGCAGCAGTTTACTCGTCACATTTGTCGGCATTCCCATAGTTAGAAGAAAATCATACTTGTACTAGAATTTATAATTACCCAATTTTTATTTATTTTTTTTTACAGAAAAAGGACATGCATTCAATAAACTCAGCGGTGATAATTAACTTTTGAATGATATGGACGCATTAACCACGTAAATAAAGCACTGTAAAATTAAAGTACTTCGCTATGATACACACTCCAGATAACAGATCCAACTTCTTGAATATGCAGACGTTCCACACAAAAATCATACCTCAAGATATGACTGTAGGCCAGCGTATAGGAACCGATTTCCAGACTAGCTGTTGTCAAAGGTTCCACTTCCAGCGTTCGTAAAATTTTCAAATGCTGTTCGATTCCAGTCCACGGTCCGTCAGTATACGCGGTTGCGAGAGCTTTCCCTATTTCCACCGACCAAGAACGCTCATTCCTTGACAAAATTCAAGAAAAAATAATTAAATAACACTTCTGAAACTTAAGGATGTCATAAGGCGAAAAAAGATTTTTAAAATTTCCGACCACAATATAAGCGAAATCAATTTTGAACAATAAAACTATCATTGCTGTACTTAATTCGTTCAATGCACCTCAAGGATTTTTGTTTTCAAGTAACAGTGCTTATGGTTTAGTATCGAACTAATTTAAATAAGTTTTGCGCAGAAGATAATTCTTGAACAGAAAACAGAAAAATGTCACTAAAAATCACCTTTCCGTTGAATTTTGAAGCTTCGACAACGTATCCCAATTTCCCAGACGCCAAGAAGCTTCCACTTGAAACTCCGCCAAACTCGGCAATGAGGACTTCGTGGCCCTGTGTTATCAAACGGTATATTTTAGGTGACATCTTATAAAAAAACATGAAGCGTTTGACCGATAACAAGAAAATTTTTATGCGGTATCAACATTCCGATACAAAAATATATCACGCCTTACGATCTGGGTTGGATCGCATTTTTAGATCCCTTGAAAAAATTTAGGACTTAAAATTGTGACTTTTATTTTAATCATGCTGGGTTTGAAAAATAACTTCTTTTCATTTTGAGGGATTTTATATCTGCAGCCGCAAAATACTTTCAAGCAAGAGTGGGACCGTTAGACGAGGAATTAGGAAAAATCCAGAGGAAAGTTTGCAGATAAATTAAGGGACGGCTATACTGTATAATAATGTATATCACCGTGGAAAAGTTTTGAAGTACCGTATTCATCGATCAAACTTAGTTTTTTTGAGAATCCCTTTTTTTTTATAACAAAGGCGGAATATAACGTACTCCATACTCTGGCACAACATCAGGGCAGTCTGACACTGATCCATGTCCATCAAGGTTCTCAACTTCCCCGTGAGGAGAAATGTGGAATTCGGATTTTGTCGCAATGCCTTGAATAAAATAAATGAGAATGATTTGAAAATTTTGAAGAAAAACATAACCCAACCGACTGGAAGCACATATGGAATTCAAACGATCAAATACCTTTTCGTAAGTCACCAAAGCATGATGTAACTTCCCACTCGCTTCATGATCCGCGATCTGTTCACGGAGGTTTGGTGGAGCAGACCTGATCGCAGAAACACCGGCAACTCCGTCACTTTCGTCCAAGTGAAGATACACATACTAAAACATTTCAGAAAAAATTCCTAGATGAAACGAAAGTCGGGTTATTTTCTCTGAAATCACAAACCTGGAGAAATCGTAGTTTATTCTGGATTTCACCATGAGAGATTAACAAATACGACTCCATGTGTTTCAGAGCTCTCCGAAAAGCATGGCAGCCCAGTGCAGCTTCAGCCAGGGTGAGCTGATCAATTTTATTCAAGAAATCTGAAATCAGAAGCAGTAATTTCAAAATTTTTGCCGGGGAATGTAACGACACACAGAGAAAGAAAATTGGATCGATACAATTGCTTTTTCACCAAAGTACAGCATTTAAAAAAAAACTTTGGAGCCCAGTGAAAATCCGATGAAGTTCATGGAAAACGATGGGGTCAAAACACGCCAATCGAAGCAAGAAAGAAAAAGAAGCTAAAAATGTTTCGACGACTTACTTTCTACCCTCGACACGGACTCTTCGCTTCTTTCGGTTGACTGCATCAGCGATGCTTTCATTTTCAGCGCCCACCTGCATGACAAGAAATATCGGATATTTTTGAAAAATTTATAAACAAATCAATTGTACACTTCTCCCCAATCGTACACAAAACTACATCATCACGACGAAGAAGTTATAAGTGCGATTGTGAAAATACACTTGAATTGTAATTAAAAATGTATCTGACCCTTTGTCTAACTCAGCTGTTCGAGAAAGTTTTTTAATGGTCTGACTTTATGAACAAGAATATCATCCGTAGCTTCACAACCAAATTATAAATTTTATTTCAAATTTTTTATTTTTTTAAATAGAAGTTGGCCAAAATTTGGCAATGGACTCTCCACAACCAAATTATAAATTTGATTTCAAATTTTTTATTTTTTTTTTTAATAGAAGTTGGCCAAAATTTGGCAATGGACTCTTCACTTAATAGAATGTGATGGAGTCACATACAGCCTGCTCTGCATGGTAAATTGGATAGAGAACTTCGAGCTTACACAGTGAGGTAGTCCAAAGCGGTGAAAACAGTCTGAGCACAATGAAACGCACTATCCTCAGTATGCCTTTTCCTTCCGGCATTTTCATCCATTGAAGATTTATCATTCATCCGACTGACAGCAAGCCCTTCACTAATTTGATTTTCGCTCGGCATTTGTGTATGGTCGCAAGACAGCGACAATTCGTCGTTTTCCATCCACTTGCGACATCTGGATGCCGATGCCCCCAGCACCGAAAAGATCTCTTTCCGAATGTTTTCTCGATCAGCATCTGAGCCTTCGATAACGGCATGCACTGTAAGCGAGAAAACAAACGAAGTTTCTTGATCACTGGAATACTCGACGTCCCAGACTCAATAATTCATTTACCATTTCATGGGTGTCGCTGGAATTTCGCTGAATTTACTTTGTTCTAGCTTCAATTCGAATACTTTAGTTTAGATTAGGTTGGATTACGTCACGTTAAGTGGGGTTAGACTAGGTTACTTTCGGTTATGTTATTCCTGGTTTGAATATTCCTTCGTGCTTGTTCGAGCGACACCTGTTCGACGAGTCAGCAAGATTGTGCGTTGAAGGTGAAAACGCGTGATCACCAGCACAGTGTCTGAAGTCAGATTGTGATTGAAAACAGTACAAGCATTTATTGAGCAATAAAAAAATGTTCGACTACTCCAGAATTAAGATGGAATAAAATAAAGTACGGTATGTGTCAACTTACAGATGACGTAAGGAAGAAGATGCTGCGCAACTCCTACATCCACTTTGAAGATTGGTTTAGTGGCCTCCAGAAGCTCTTTCGTCGAAGAATTCACTGATTGCATCAAAACGAGCAGCCAGACAGTGATCCACTCTGAATACGATCTCGATCTAAAATTAAAGTTGAAATGGTCATCATATTACACACTTAAAAAAAATTCCAAAACGAAAATGGTGAGCCCTACCCGAAAAGTGGCGACTGGAACGTTTTCTCGCTTTTGTCACTGTCCTTAACCATGTACATCGATTTGAGTAAAGGGCTTAGCACTTCTTTGGTACCAGCGTCCAACGTCTTCCACAAGTTCTGTCCGGTTGATTTAGAGGCAGTCTTTGCCCCAGGTCCGACTTTACAGGCCTTCATGACTTGCTGAAAATCGTGAGGATTTTTTTTATCGATTCCATAGGTAGCAAATGGATCGAAAAAAATATTCACAAACCTGCAAAGCGTAAGCGCAACAGTTTTGATTGTGTAACGAATCCAGACTCAGGAACGCGTCCACCAAACGCAGGATGAGATCTTTAATAAAGTCATCCCCTCGGATGTTTGTGAAAAAATGTTCCGAGTCTTTGTTGGCTGCGAAGAATCAAGAAATATTTTCAAAAAATTCCAAAAGAATATCAAAATTTCAATTCCAAGTACTGCACCTGTAAATCGAGTCAACTGAAGCTGTCCGGGATCAACAGCACCCACGGCCCCAAAGCATTCAGCAATGACGGGCAACACACCGGAATCAGCCGTGCGACTCAAAATCATCAATCCATCTACGATTTCCTGAAGATCGAAAAAAATACAAGGTTATCTTGACGATAAATTTGAAAACAGAATTGATTTAAAAATTAAACTCAGAAATACAGTACTTGAATAAGCACGGAATTCTGCTGGAAGTTTGTGACGACATCCAGAACCGTTTCATCGTCCGTCGTCAGACATCGTTTTAGATTCATCAACGCATGTTTCTTCAACTCAGAATCCTTCAGCTTCAAACCAGCCAATGCTTTCCGAATTTCTTGCACTGTCTCATACCTTCAAAATTGAACACGGTTAATGCATATGAATAAAGGGCTCCTCTGCTGAGCGAAAAAATTGAAAATACGACGGCGTTGGATAAATGAGAGAACTGCAAAAATAAATCTAACATAAAATAAGGATACATTGTACTGTACTGTGTATTGGAGCACAGCATCTTCTTCGAATGCAACCAAACCCAAAGCTTGCACACAGATTCTTTTTCCCTCGACAACTGAATCAATTTCCCTATATTCGAAATACTGTACTCACAAAAATAAATCAGGGAAAATAATCTCTATCGTATTGAATCGGTTGTAATTATGGAAGCGACTGCGATTTCCCCCAATCGAAGTATGAACAAAATTGCGCGATCAGGCCATAATAGCGAATGCCAGCATCCCAGCATGATACCTTACCCCTGAGATATTTTCAAGGACGAATATATTTCCTCAACAACACGATCGAGCTGAGGAATTTTTAGAAGCTGCAAAAATGATATGTCCAAAAGTTGCGGGGAAACGACCTGAGTCCATTCCTTTTGCTTGGCAAATAACCCCTTAACCAGGTTCGAAACGGCAACAGGTTGCATGGCAGCCCAAGGGACCAAACTTATCGCCATCTCACGTGCCAAAGTCCCGGCTGCTCCTTCACGCAAACTAAATTGAATGCGAGAAAAACTCATTTAAAAAGCTAAGAACAGGTTTGAATCAAAATTGGGAACACCGCATACTTGGCAGCAAAATTCGACCAAGCACCGACAGCGTGTTCAGCGACCATTCCTGACTCGTGCAATCGCTGCAATGTCCGCAACGACATCATGAACTTGTGCCTCAGGTTGGTCACTATTTCGGGTCCCAGCAATACAATAATGTCTTTCAGCGATTGTACGGCAACAATCTTATCTCCCAGAGAAACGCTGGGCTTCACGAACAGCAAGTCAAATTCGCACAATGCCCCAAGAATTCTCAATCGAAGAAATTCAGCCTGAAATAATAAAACGAAAAGTTGTTTTTACGTCGATATTTTCATTCAACTTGGCGTGTTTAAATGCAAAATAATTGTACATTAATGAAGGATGTCCCAGTTCCGCGTGATCTGAAAAAATTATCGGGCATGAAAATTAATCGTCATGTTCTACAAGAAAATGATTTACTCTCGGTAACTCGAGAAACCTTCGGCGAACCCCGAACGTGCATAATTTCAAACGCAGAAATTAATTTTTTTTTCGCTTCAATAGCTACAATGCACTGTATATATTTTCAAGAGCACGCATAATTTTGACGACCGCGTGAAAAAAAAACCTAAAAAAAACCTAGGGATTTTCCACCATACTTAAATCGTCCCATTGGATTGCAATTTTAAGAAAACATTCATCGTCCAAAAATTAAAAAAAAATTGCCTTCAGTAAATTGAGCGACGTGATAATAACAAAGATTCCTGTTCGACGAACCAACGTTGTCAAATATGTCAATAAACTGACTTTCCTCTCAATTTTGTAATCCTTTCTCATTTTCCACGGGGAAAACACGATACTAAAATTAACAGAAAACTTCAGAAGGGTGAACACATTGCGACATACAAGTTTCTGCTGATGACTTCCAGTTTTTGTTTATAAAATATATATTATTAATAGATCCATAGTGAAGATCTGTAGTAGTATAGTGGCCATAGCAGCTAACAAGAGAATATGAAACCAGTTCAAGCAGATCATACAGAAAAAAACTCACGATTTCTTCACGACGCAGTTTCGCCGCTTTATTGGATTGCTTCGTAATCTTTTGCTGCTCGTGTTCCTGAAGCGCAAGAAGAGTGATGCCACGCAGGATGCCTTCGGGGTTTATTGAATAACTGAGCAGCAGTTCATTCAACATCGCCTTCAAAAATAATCAATAAATATTCGAAAATAAATTGAAGTTTATAAGCTAGAAATTGCGAGTCATATTTGACATTATTTGACGTGATAGAAAAACTATGCCGCGATAAAAACAATCGGCATTGTTACGTCAGCCACCATAAAAAAAAAATGCATGGCAGAAAAACTTGATGAACTTATGTCACTCACCTGATAATTCGCTCGAACAAAATATTCGATGTTCATTTTGGTGACTTTTTCTATTAGCTTCAACGCTGGGTCACCCTTCGAGCTGCACATGAGTATTGGAAATATTTTCTGCAGGCGAAATGTCCCCATTAGTACACACTGATCACAATAAAAAAATAGATATTGGGCACTGGTAAACCGTTCAACAAATACGTGGCACAACAGATTTTTCGAACTGACTCCATCTGCAACCAATTTTTTAAATCGATATGTTTGAAATTCATTTGACTTAGATGCGTCCGAAGGTAAATATAAATTTTCATGTACAGTCCAGGACATTTTCTTCAATGTAACAAAAGCACTCAAAAACAAAGAATACGGAGTTCAACATAACCAGTAACATTAAAAACCTTTATAAAAAACTTAGAACAGATTACTAATTTTATATTTCTTCCCACGACTCATTTCAAGTTCAATTGGAGGTTCTAAAATTAATGCAAGGGATCAGACTAATTAACCGAGGCAGCACTGCAGAGTAATATAAATGGAGGGCTAACCGGAAATGAATCCCGCAACATGAACGGAATCCTGTGTCCTTTCGGCAATGATTTGGCCCTTGCCACCCACTGAGCCAACGTTGCTAATCCTTTGAAAGAACCATCCCGCCTCAGCGAGGCAACAATAACAGGACAAACAATTCTGTGCAACAGAATGTCAAATGAATTCGATAGCTCCCCGAAGCCCCACGCTTCTCCGAGTGCAACTTGGAGACTGTAAAATATGTGGGGATGCAAAACAGTCAGAAGAAATCGTGAGCAGAAAATTTCCTTCAATATTCTGCGTCATCTGAATATTAATATACAGGTGGACTCTCTTTATAATGAAACTGATGGGACCAAAAAAAATCGTAGACAGAATTTCGTCGAAGAGAACCATTATAATATAGGGACAGTACCCTATGCGACTGAAGAAAAAAACTGTTATACAGAGAAATTCGTTGTAGACAAGATGGTTGTAGGGAGAGCACCTGTATTACTCAAATATACGATAAGAAAATTTACTTCGGTGGGATCAGTTCGAAATTCATTATTTCAGCGGAGGGATTTTCCGGATCACTAAATTAAAACGTGCGATTTGCGAAATTGAATGTAAGACACCATCAGTCATTTAGAAAAAAACTACAGTCTTGCAAATTTGCGTTAACGATATTTTGGGAACAGTATCCATAAAACGTAATCTTCTTTTTAAAAAATCGGATAATCTCACGAGCGATAATAGACGAGTTCGCCTTCTTTGGCGTCCCCACGATCGACGACGAATGCCGCCAGACAAGCACCCAGTTCGGCGGCATGCAAAGCTGCTAAAGCTCGAGGAGTTGTTCCAAACCATTTCGCAACGCGCTGAATTTCCATCGCAGCCGAGGCCCGTAGTCCTCGTGTTCCTTGATACAGCAGTACATCCGTCAGCGCTTTGAAACACCGAGCCTGCAATCTCGGCAACCTCGAGAAAAAAAATCATATGATTGTTAATTACTTTTTATAATTTATTAAAAAGTCTGTTCAAATTTCAGAAGTGGCTGCAACAAAAAAAAGATATAATTTTTTTTCACTACTGTACTGCGAATGAAAAATATCATGCTTCTAAGTTGAACACATTTGCCGAGTGAGAGCAATTAAAATTGCAATCTTAGCACCTGGATATCAAGTTCGGCTATCTTACATTATGCTACTATAGGTCGTGAAAAGTAATTTATCAAGAACGATTAGGCTTAATCAAAGCATACTTTCAATACATTAAGGTGGTTCTTCGTCGCGCTAATGATGCAGACGACATCTTCTTGACATTCTAGGAAGCAAGGTATGAAGTTTAGGCCAGATTGAACACAAATACTGTACAGTAACATAGTCAGGTTGATGCCAATAAAACTACGAAGGATAAATTTGATAGGATAAAAGATACGAAGAAAAAATAATAATACTTGGCACAGGAGCCGATTCCCACAATGACATCCGTTCGCTGGCAGCCATCAGTTCCTTCGCGTCCCAGCACTTCATCGAAAGTAGCGAACAATGCGGCATCCAACGATTCGATTGAATTCGATTCCACTCGAGATGCAAGAACAGCTTCTTCAAGCTCTACAGGCATGCAGCCGCGTGACGAAAAGCAAAATTTTCCGGAAAGAAACTTGACTTCATCTTCCCGAACGATCAACCATGGAATTTGGCGGAGCAGCAACTGTCGTTCTGGACCATTGTTTTGATCCTGTCGATAAAATATGCAGACCGAGATTCAGAACATGAATAATGAAATTCACCGAAGAGGGAAAATTATTCAACGAAAGAAGAGAATTTTCACCCAGTCTGTCGTATCATTTCACAGCTGAACGGTGATGAAAGAAGAACAGGGAGAACTTTTTTTGACACAATGAATTTTACTTTTGAAAAATTTGATAAAAAAAAAATTCCTAAGCCATCGAAAAAAGAAGTACAGTGCGGTAGTTCCCTCATTTCAAAAGTATAAGAATCGGTATGGTCTCTTGACTTCTGTTACGTTTTCTCAAGTTAGGCTACTTCAATCCACGTTACTGACTCAGAATCGGTTACCAAACCCTACCTGACCTGCAGAAAAAAAATACAGGCGACATATACTTGACATTTCGGAAACAAAGACGGAGGGAGTGAGAAGAAAGAGCACACAGGATACTTTTCCCAGGCAACACATTTATTTCTAAAGGAAAAAAAAAGAATACGGTACCGCTAGAAAAAACCCAATTGAATTTTTAAAATCTAACCTTGAATATCTCCAAAAATAAACTTTTGATAAATTCAGCAGACGGATTCGTCATGTTATGCTTCATCCAGCGTTCGAACGAATTCCCCAATGGAGCACCCAGCTTGGCCACTTGCAACACTTCTGCTGCTCGTAGAAAAACGGACTCGACAAAATCTGCTTCTGATTCAAAAACATTGTGTCCTTGGCGGGGAACCGGAGCAGGCATTGACAAATCCCCATTGTCGCAAGATGCGCAAATAACTGGTCCATCTTCATCTTCAAATCTTCCATAGCAAAAAAAGAAAATAAAAAGTTCAACCAAAAATATTTCTGCCAAGTTTCTCTCGCGAAAACTGACTCGAATTCAAAGCGACGAAATGTCACAGAGCAGAAATTAGCCAGGATAATCGAGAATTTGATGCTAGCAAAACAAACATTTTTTTTTAATCCAAAACAAACATGAAACTGTTTAAAATAAACGTACTTTGGAAGCACCAAACTTCCATTTAGGGCACAGGGCATCCATTTGAGTAAGTTTGCCACAAAAGGAGCTTCGTCTTCGGAGGCTAGCAGAGGTGTCACTTGTCCCCCGATGATTGCTTTCAGGAATGCAAAACCGGTCATTTTAAAATTTGCGTAAATCAAACCAGCGTTTTCAAGCAGCATGCGACGACACTTCGTCGCCCATTTTCCAGTTGATTCCTCAAATACTTGCTTAGCCACAGTCAATCGCGTTTGCAAATCTGGGGATTGCGTTCCTCGAGGCAAGGACGCCAATAACCTTGGAAACAAAACCAAAAGGATTATTCATACTGTACTCCGAAGAGGGATTTGAAAGATTAAAATCGTAATTCTTCATTCATTTTTCTCAGACTCATACGCGCGGTGGTAATTTCAGCATTAGAATTCTTCTTATTTTGGATCAAGTAAATCTGGTCTCAAATAAAAGCGTAGCAGAAACTGTGTTCAACATTTACAGCGAAGCTCATCAACAAAAATCTTGAACAAGTGACAGATCTTCTGAAAAGCGGAATATCCAAAATTTGTTTCGCGTCTAGAGGTCACATTTGAATGAGCAGCGCATCATTGAACGATTAAATAGCCAATTCGAAAATATCTGGAAATTTTCATCAAGTGACAAACGGATTTTTTGTAAGCTCAATTCTTAGATTCCTTGGGATTTTACGCCCAAAATCGGACTTCAGCAAAAGGAATTCTGTACCAATGCATGGTATTCCACAGTCTCTCAAATACTGTTACTGCTCAACTGCCGTCTTCCGTGGGATAAGTTCACAAATCCAAGTATTCACCTAAATCCTTTCTCGACGTTCTTCCAGTTACAGCTGAGTAACCGACTGCATTCCCATGACGCTTTCGTAGGCCCAGGCACAATCAGGTTGATATAACGCAACAAATCCTCATTTTCACTGGACCCCACGGTCAGCAATGGCAGAAGCGCAACCCTTGCGATATCCGCAGAAAGCTTACAAAAATCGGGGATCGTTCCAAGCTTCAACAACTCTGTCGACAACTGTAATGGTGACAAACAAATTCAAGATTTAAAATGCAATATTCTACTCAGGGATAGATTTGAACAAAAAGGGTTTCATGTTGCTGATTTACATCATGAAATGAAGAGATTGGTTTTACCTAAGAAAAGAAGAGGATATTGCCTAGCCCCCTGATCAGATTACCGTATTGTTTAGATAGGATTAGTTTTCCATGACTCCAGCGTTTTGCATTCATCACTGTCCTCCTTTTTGGGTTTTTACGCTATTCGCATATCTTAATTTATCTGGTTTAACAAATTGCGAAAATACTCCGAATTGATATTTAGGGATTGCTTAAACCCTCTCAATAAGAGGTGAGTTGAGTCGAACCGTGAAAGAATACAGTATTCCCAAAATGTAATAAAGATGGTTCTAATTTTGTTTACGCTTGGAGCATTTACTAAAAATCTAACATCATTATCTATTATCATGCGGAAATCAAGACATCATCGAAATGACAGATAAGCCAAAAATGATTAATTATCGCGACATTTACGATTTGGCAAAGTGTAAGACAGAACTTACCCGGTGAAGAGAATCATAGGCATCTGATGCGGCTGTTTCGTCGGTACAGAGGATCACAGTCAACAACATTCGTGGAATGCACCAGGAAATGGCGGAGTAGCAGTCATTAAGCACTTTTTCATCGCAATGTCGAGCAACCTTAGCGAAATTCCAAATCAAATTCATGTCTTCTTGAGTTGTAGGACAGTCGTTTAAATTATCTTTCAATCTCCCGATCATACTCGTCAATATTTGCCATGACGTACTTCTGGAATAATCAAAATATTTCCCCATTATTAGCAGCTGATATTTACATCAAATCGCTGTTACGTGCTTTGAAACGCCGTTCAACGACGACCCAGAGCGACGCCTTTTTCTTGATCCGTGGTCATTCCGAGTTTCTGGGGCGAGGTCGAGTTTTTTGCTCATTTCCTGATTTACAACCGTGGCCAAAACGATCCAGCCAAAATTTCCTATCGCCAATTTTTCAAGATGTTCATCAGAAACCGACAGAAACCCGAGTTTCACCGTCTTGACCACCAGATTCATGAGAACACGCTTCCATTTATCTGTAAAAATTGAGAAGAATTAATACAGTACATAATATCAGGGCATCACCCTTCTGGTGAAATGCACATGAAGAAAAATCGAATGCTTCAATCGTTTCTTCAAGGCAACATCACGAAATGTGACCACTGGATCAACATGAACCGATTAAAGTATTTCCAAACTCAATTTAGGAAATTTTGTAGACTTATTTTATTGTCTTAATCCTCGCGGAAAATTCATGCAATCTTCAATTTTGAAACTTCGTTAGTGGACATGGTCTACGCATTGCGCTTTCGACTGAAAAGAATTCATGTCCAACATACGGGACGATCTCTTAGCCTGAACAAAGCTTTCTAGCATTTATAGCTTTCGAAATACATCCTTAGTATAACTAGAATCTTAATTCAGTTTCATTTTGGAATGCAGCGCAATAAAGTGAACAAAATTTCTGGGACACCCCACATTTTAATTAACACGTTTTTATTAACTTGCTTTCTTGTCCGTTTGTTTGTCCGGATCAAATTTCGCTCACTTCCCAACTAGCTAGCAAGCTGAATCACGTTTAAGGTTATTTTTTGCTTTTTGAAAACGTGGTTTTCTAGATTAATTTTTTAATCTACTAAATTTGTTGGTGCTTTTTAGTCTTACTTGAAAAACGTGGTTTTTTAGATTAACTTTTTAATCTACTATAATTATTAGCTTATAATCTGCGGAACTACCGGACTTCAAATCGTATCATTATAATGAGTAATGGCGCTTTGTAAACGCAAAGATGAAAATCTTACCAGCAATTAGGTGCCAACGAGGAGCAGGAAAAAAGTCGAGAGTCATGGCAGCTACTTGACAAGAAAAATAATCCGGCACTTGCTCATCAACTTGACTCTCCAACAATCGACCCGTAACAATCATGACTTTGTCCTCTAAATCCGCATCACACACGCAGTTTCCTCGGCCGAAAACGTTCGTTTCGATTAGTTCAAGAATAATTTTCCAGCAAGCGTCATCAGGGGCGTAGTCCTGCACCAATTGATCAGTACATTCGAGAGCTAGTACTTGCATTCCCAAGGAACCGTGTTCTAAAACATGCGCCAGTTTGATCCACATTTCAGAGTATAATGGCTGGACGAGCGGAGTTTCTCCAATCACATACTTCAATACCTTCAAGCGCAAAAAAAAAAGTTGTGCATTGATCAGTTATGCTCTTTCACTGCACGTTGCTAGGTTACAAACTTATTTTCAAGAATTGAGTGGAGACTGCATTTCATGTCAGTGCCATATTTTTTAACCATACCTTAAATAAAATGACCTTCAAATATAAGTGCTGTATTACTACTGAAGGTAGGGTAGTATGTAGCGTAGGGTAGGGTAGTTCTTTGGGTATTATTTAATTACAGTATATGATTTCATTAATTTTACCAACCATTGACCAGGTGTGTCTGGGCACCCACCAGCTTGTACCTTAAATAAAATTACCTCCAAATATTAGCGCCCTATTACTTCGAAAATAAAATGATACAGGACGATTCACAAGCTACGAGACAAAAAAAAGCGTCAACATTTCGAAGAACAAATAAAATTTAACAGACTTCCTTTCAAAGGATAGTGGGGCAATGCGTAATGAAGGTGAAAAATACTGACATTTTCCAGACTGCCAAAAAAGTTTGCGGCCTGGGTGAGGAAAGATAACATTTCTGGCCCGTTCTTGAAAAGTCATAAATATAATTTTAAATGAATAAATGTGCCATTTTCCTTCCTCAGGCAAAAAGCAATTGCGGGGTTTTTAGGATTGTGTTTCCTTCGCTCACACTGTCCTTCCTTCAATAATTGCACGATTAAATGCTCATAACCCCGAAAAAACCACCTTTTCGTGGCCATAATATGAAATTTTTAGTACATAAAATCCGAACAAAGACTCGAACAAGAAGCGCAATCTCCTTCAATTTGAGGATTTGGCTCGAAGCTTACTTGCATAAGCCGAAGAAGGACCTGTTCCGAATCCTGGATAATAGGGAAATACTCCAACTTAGCCGTTTGAAAGTCAGGCTTCAAGCCGAAGAACCGTCGCTCCGACGTATTGCTTGAAAGCATGAGCAACAAATCTGATTTCATAGAAGACCAAAAATTAAACCAAAATTGAGGTAGAATTTTTTTTTCCATTTTCGCGGACTTCCATAGAAACTTACACTCGAGATCATCTAGTGTGGCAGAAAAAATGCGTTCGAAAATACTCGGCATACTGTCCGCTAACATGAGGAAGCAATCAGCTATAACGATTGCGTATTTTTCTGTATCTTTCGCATTTTCCGGGGCATTCAGCATCGTGCCGAATATATGATGGAGTAACCACGCAACGAAGTCGAAATGAGAATCTAAAAAACAATTTTCGAAAACAAGAAATACTTTCATCAACTTCCATCCGGGGAAAAGAAAAATCGGTTTTTGGCAGACCTTCGGACTGAGCAAGTGCGTGAACGTCTTTCCAACAAAGAAAATCTCTGGCATTCCGCCCTCGGACGATGTTGGCCTGCAAACATTCGAAAAAGCTCTCCATATCCCTCTGAGCCCATCCGGATTTCAGTTTCCTGACCAACACCGCGGTCACGATCGCAGTCTGAGAATCCTCGTCGTTTTCCATGACACATTTCTGGGACACGTTACGAAGAACTCTGCGACAACATAAGTCAACAAAAGCAATATCGCTATTCAGGCAATAATGAATAAAATTATTCAAATTAACCAAATTCCAAAAGCCCGCCTTTGAAACAAAACGCAGTTTTTTTCCTTTCCCAAGCATTGAGTTTTTATACTTTCAAGTCTCAAGCAGGAATTCGAATGGATGTCTTCGGAAGGGTTTCCGAAAAGGAAATGAACGGAGACTTGCGCCATTCCTGCTCTGCAACAATCGACGTCTTGATCTCACTTTATTTCTCCACGGTTTCTAGAGAACATGACAGATTCATCAATGGAATGTATCTCCCAAGTCTACTCAACAAGCATTCTTTCCGGCAAATCATGTCAACAAGCATGATTTCCGGCAAAAAATGTATATACTGTATGTATATAGCAATGTACTTCCAATTCTGATTTCTCATGCGAATTCGTGATTTTTTGCGGGATAGATAATTTCGATGACGTAATTGGAAAATTGTATTAATAAGTAAGCATAATGTGGAAAACTTAGTCACGAACTTCGGTTGGTCAGAAAATTTGACGTTAGTTGAAACTAAGAAAAATTCGCTTATTTTTCATCAGCGCTCATTAATAACTTGGGCATTTTTATTTTGTTTTCATGAATAATTTTCTGAAGAAAAAAAAACGAGAGACATATGATTACTGGTACAGTAATAGAAACCATTCGTCAATGCCGAAAAAGATGCGAACACTTGAAAAAATTTCGTCAATTTGACAGGTGTGAAAAATTGCGCTATCAATCTCAATGTTCGAAGTAAGACTTTGAGCTGAGATAACGGCACAGTAAGTTAGCAACCAAAACTAAATTTGAAAACTTACCAGGAACATCATTAGCGCTGGCCTCGGCCTTATCTGCAACAGGTTTCTTTTTCTTCTGCTTCTTCTCATCCCCATCTCCGCCTTCATCGCCGTCCTCATCCTCTTCATCACCATCTTCTCCGTCCTCGTCCTCGTCTTCCGCATCGGACGCAAACGTGTCGTCCGGCACGTCGTACAGCCGCACCATCGGCTTGTTGGGGTCTTTTATGAGCAAATACTTTCCGTCGGGCAGCTTCATGCATAGGTCCACGAGAGTTCGGAGAATACCCCAAGCATTGTCCATACTCAGATTGATTTGGTTGGCGAATTCCACGGGCTTGAACTGTTGCGTGCCGAGGATGACGTGACGGGCCGAATCGCGGACTGTTTGGCGAGAAACATAGCCGAATTTGATGTGATCTGAGCCGGCCATGATTGCCTGGATCGTCCACTTGGCCAGTTTGTTGGAATTGTTCTTCAACTCATTGGCCAGTACAGCTCCGCGCTGCGTGTCAAGTTTCTGACGCCATTCAATCCCGCCCGAAAACTGCGAAGCAAAAATGCGTGTGGTAACATCGTGTTTACGCAAAATAAACTTGAGCAGAGATTTCAGACACAACTGACGGACTGAAAAATAATCGGATAAATTTTTGGAAAAAATTCGACTTTAGTAAAAAAAAATGCATTCAAATTTATCTTGACGGAAAACTAGAAGTTAAAAAGGAGAATTTCTCGAGAATTGATTTAAAACTCGTGGAAAAGCTGGAATGCATGTCATGGTCAGGAATGAGTCTACAGGTATTAGCTCTCTAATTTTAGAAAACCAATCTCGCCTGCATAGGTGAGACCGCGGTGCAGCCTATCATATGCCTCAATATACATATAAGGACGCATTCTAGCGTCAGGGCATTTAGCCGAGGAACAAACTTCGGCAAATACGATATAAAATACTGCGAAGTGAGATGCACTTTACTTCCGAGTTCTACAAGTTGAAAAGCTTCGCACAAAAGGACTCCATGAAGACTAATTTCTATCAGTAATATTCTTAAAAGGTAGAAATAGGTCATTTATAAACCTTATCGATTCTTTTTAATGATGCCTCGACAGTAAATTAAAATTTACTCAACAGTATTATTAAATAATTGTTTCTCACAAAAAAGTACAGTTTTCCCGCAAAACTTGAAAAGATTTTTCATCCGTTTTAAATCCACTCGTGAAGTACAACTTCGTGAAATAGTGGAAAAAACCTGCGGAGCCAAGTAATACTCACACGAGGGTCCCACTCATTCAAGGCCTTGACATTCAAAAACTGGACTTCGCCATTCGGTCCCGGCAATACAGCATCATGTTCACAACGGGAAACAAGCTGCATTCCGTTCCCCAGATCCCAGGAACGGTAACGATATCCTACGCTCGCAAGTTCTCCTTCTTCTCCTTCCATCGCGAATGGATTTTCTTCAGGGAACTTGTAGCTCTCCTCATTCTGCAAAACGGCCAAGAATAATTTTAAAATGCACACGCGGAATCGTGGGATATCTGAGGAAATTCAAAATAAAATCTTAGCTTCTTATTTTTACTGTAACACAGTAGCAATGATTATGTTAAATTCGTGCAAAATATGTAAAAAAAAATAAATTGGAAATACGGCTCCAAAATAGTAATAAATTACTAATGTACTGAATACGATGCTAAACCTAGACCATCGCTCAAAAAATAACACCATCATTGTAAATTTTCGACAGGATATCGGATCTGAAGTAAATTCTAAAAATCTATTCCCCGTGACTATTCCCCGTCACGTCATTCCAGCTCTTTTCTAATACATTTTTCAACAACAGCCTGGGAATTAAATGAATAAATGGAAATATGGAAACCATTTCAGTCATAAAATGCGTTGAACAGAACGAGAAGAGATGCTGATCATCTCGGAATAAAAACTCGTGGAACTCATACATTGAACCTCTTGTTACCGAACAACCTATACAGTATAACAAAGCGGCTTTTCCGGCCATATACTCGTCGATCCCGAACTATCGATTTCAAGAGAACGCCCTAATAACGTACCATAAATTGGAAAGAATTAGATTCAGTTCATGATTCTCCATTGTTCTGATCATTAGCATGAGATAAAAGGGTTTGAAGATGAGGAAAGACAGTAAAACAAACTCACCATGCGCAATACTTGTTGAGAGAAGTTGTGGTTAATAAATAGAGCTTCCAGGGCCAAGTTTCGTGGCGAGTTGATACTCGCGCCTTCTTCCTGTGGTGGCTCGCTGGACGTCTCATTCACGGAGAGCAAATCTGGAATTAAAATCACGAACGAAAAAGTTGCCTTACGTTACGTTTTTCGAAAAGATCCAGCCTCCCAACAGCTAGGCATCAGAAGATACAAAACTCACCGAATTCAGAGTCGTCTCGCTTGTCAAAGAAAAGCTTATCATCCACTTTATCGATGACAATGTCCCACGAATAAACAGATCTCGTGCAGCACATAATCGTGGCCAAAATGACATCAGTAGCGAAAATGTTTCCTTTTCCTTCCATTGCCAACTAGAAATAAAAAATTAAAATCTTCTTCTAGATCCCGAACTCTTATCACTAAGTTGAAATTTGGAGAGACAATATTTGTCTGAAGATTTGCTACATTGAAAAACCCACCTGGCGAATAATGGGGTCGTCAGTGGTCGTGACTTTGTGGTTGATCCGGTCAATGCGGATCAAACGACGCTCCACTTTCGTATTCACGCGATCGAATGACCTATCGTAGTACTCCATCTTTCCGCACAATCGCCTAACAATTGTGAGCATTAGCACAGACATATATTTGAAACGAAAACAAAGATCACGTACAGATCAACTGGATCGCTAACATTCGGAAGCGATAGTTTGGTGAGTCTCGGGAAGTCCATTTCTTCAACAACTTTCCAGGTTGGTTTCACCGTTACAGATGATTCACGCATCTTCACGGGCATTCTGTTTTGATGGTCATATCGTCCACGGTAGCCCCATCGATTCATCTTTCGCTGCTGACCTCGTCGACTAAACGGAAAAATGAAGTTCAGTTTAAAACACTGGACAAAATTAAAATTCTGACTTTGCATCAAGAAAGGTAGGTACAAACGAATAAGATCTTATGGAAATCCAGAGCACGGCAAAAAAAAAAATCCATGCGTTTCGCACGTCAAAAGGATTGTTCATTTTTCGCGTAGGTTATTTCCAAATATCTCGAGCGGCCAATAAATCTAATGACATTGGAGGACAACTGAGAATATTGTTTATAATCTTCAGATGAAATTTCCTTTCACTCTTGGCTTACAAGGAGACTTCTAACAGGATATACATAAAACCTCGTACAATTCTGATTCAACCCAGAAAACCTCCGTACAGTAAATCTCAAGGGCACATTGAGATAAGGGCAAATTGAAGCAGCAAAGTCTGCTACGAAAACACATATGGTCCAAATGGGTTCATCCGTCAACATGAGAAAGCATAAATGTACCGAACATGTTGTTCGGCAATGAAAGGGGACATCGTGAAATTAAAAGAATAAGGCTGTCTCAATATTTTTTTTTTTGAGCAACTCGGGTATAATGCAAGCAGCTGCTCGTTGCGTCAAACCCATGCAAAATAGGAACAAGTCTCGTACTCGAATCGCAATCTTACAAAAAAGAAAAAAGGACTAGAACTTTTAAAAGTTATTACTTCGAACCACGGAGAATCTGAGGCTGATTCTGCCTGGTTTGCTGCTGGCGACCTCGATTAGCACGACGCATAAAACGCCCACGCTGATAGAGCGGTTTGGGCGCACGAGTCGTGTCCACCAGCTGGAATGAGCTCTCATCCTCTTCATGATAGTACGAGTAAACATACTGCTGGTTTCCTCCGTAAGTCGAAGCGTACTTGTCTGGAAATGAAACAATAAAAATGAAAAACTTTTTTTGCAACTCGGAAATGACGGGACTGATGTGATGAAAAAGGCGCATTAGGGAGTTTGTAAGAAAAATAATAATCAAATTGAAATGCACTTCCGAAAAATATCAGACCGCCTCACAAAATTATGAATTTTCTTGTAAAATTAAACATTTCAAGATATTGCCACTTTCACAACGTCAAAAATGATCTAAGAGAAGTTCTCGTTAACTAAGTCTGGATCCATTTTAATCTTCACAAATTACTCAAAAGACCAAAACAAGCGAGAAAATGCGCATGCAAGATTTAAAAATCAGAGGAATCAGACGCCAGCATACTACATTACCTTAGATCTTCGAACACGTGACTCGGTTCAAAATTGATTAAGAAATCCTTGCAGAAACGTTCTAGATCGATCATTTATATTTGCTTATTATATTAACGTTAAAAATTAGGAAATACACGATAGAAATTCTAGATTACACAAGAAACTTATGATTGAAAAATTAGAGATTTTGTACGCAGAATGAATCAGAGCATTGGAAATAAGTTTATTTGTCGAAGCAAAAGAGAAAATATTCTTCGACCCTGAAGAAAGATTTGCACAAATTTAACTCACTTTGGTATTTCCGGTCAGGATAAGTGGCCCCAGTCCAGTCAGATACTTTTCCCAACCGATCGCCCTTCGAAAACGGTTGATAAGGCATGTCCTTGAACTTCTCCGGCACAGTTCCCAAGGGAGGCCCCCAACCATTGGGGTTCTCCCTGATCTCAGGAGGATTGAACCTCAGCGTCATTTTCAACACTTATTTCAACGCAACTTTCCAACAAAAAAGTTCTCACAATTTCACATAACCTGCAATAGTCGAATGATAGATCACATAATAATCTAGACGTCTCAGTGAAATACTTCCAAAGCTAAAGATCCGAGGCGGAACCCAAAAAGAAAATCACGACACGATACAAATCGTTTAAAAATTAAAAATAAATTCCTTTCATTATAAAACTAAAACGTTCGTCTGGCTTCCGCAATCGCTGATCTGAGTTTGATAATGACGGCATCACGTGAGGAATAAAGTCCGGATCCCATCAAAGTTTTGAGTTCTTCTTCTAACAATTGAACTTCTGGAGATGGCAACTCCTCCAAATACTGTTCGCCATTTGTTCCCGACGTTGATTTGAAATATTGGTGAATATCTTTCCTAATGCCTTCCAATAATCTTGACTCCTCTTTGGCGAAAAAACTCGCTTCCTGAGCAATAAGCGCTTGCCTGGATTAAACGAACGTAAGTCGGGGTTTTTGCGTCTGAATAATCAATTCTTACTTTGAGAAATGCAGGTTTCGCCTGGCAAGCAGTAATTCATCATCGCGCGCTGAATCTCTCTCTTGTAGCTGGGCATTCAACGAATCGATCGTATCCTTCAACTTTTTGTTTTCATGCTGAAGCGAGATCATTTCGATCTCTAGCGCTTCCTGTCGGAAAAGGATGAATAAAGTTTACGTTTGTTTCAAGCTCGCTTTCAATAAACCGCATTCCCACCTTTTTCTCATGAGCAGACAAAAGAGCATCTTGTATCTGAACAGCAACAATCTTCGGCATTTCTTTTAGGTCTGAGAGTTCTCGTTCAAGCTGAGAAATTTGTCTTTTCAAAATATCGCTCTGCGTCGATGAAGTTTGAAGCTCAAGTTCAAGTTGCTTCATTCTCAAATGCTTTTCTTTGTTCAACTTTCTCAACGACGTCACCTTGGAGGACAATTCCGCAAGTCGTTCAGCGTCTTTGCCTCTCTTCTCGATCTGTCCAACAATAAAAGATATACTGTTAATAAATCAGGTCCGTAATAAAGAAAAATCAAATTTTTAGAAGCAACCTCTAAAATGTCGAAAATGTCTGATGCGATAGGAAGTCAGAAAATTGACAAAGCTCAATCCCGAAAAAACGCATCTAGACCAAGATTCAAATGCACATTGCAATAATTCCCAGGGAGAAGAAAAAAATCCACGGATTGAAAGGAACACGCCAGATGAAGAACATACTTGAGATTTGTGGGCAGTTTCCAGATCTTGCATTTTTTTCTTCAGAATTTCAGCTTCTTTCTTCAATCTCTGATTTGCAGTCTGAAGATTCTGCAACGCCATTGCCTGATTCTTGTTACGAGGAATATCAACCACATTTTGTTTGGAGAACTCCACTTTCTGAAATAGAATGACAGTGTTTTAGAAACAAAAGTATTCCACCTACAGCATTTATGGTCGACTGCTCTTACATTCACCACGTAAGTATCCCTACGAATTCTTCCAGGCGATACAGGAATAGAGCCTAAATCATCCAAACACAGCCACAAGTCCAGATAACCCACAATTGTCGAACTGTCCATACTTTTCACCATCGCTTTCACGAAGCACTCATTTCGCAGAACGTTTTGTTCCTGGATCTGCGTAAGAAAACTTTTGCTTAGAATACGAAGACAAAATTAGAATTAAAATACCATACCTTCACAATTGCTTCGGGCTTATCGAAGAGAGATCTCAACTGAACTTTAGCAAACCCAACGCAGTTTTTCACGTCGCCCGCACGATAAAGCTTCACGGTGAGAGGATACTCCAAAAAAGCTTCAACGATAAATTTCGTCGGAGCTGAGAAGATCGTGGAAAGAGCTTTTTCTGATCCATGCTCAGCTCGCATGCTCCCAATCTCTGTGTAGTGTTCTTTAAATCCGAACAACGGATACCAGAAACTAAAGAAAAAGGCAGACTTTTTCAATAAAACTAATCCAAAGATTACTGGGAATATTGGTAAAGCGAACTCACGAGGCTATAATATCTTGTGAAGTTACTGAGGAAGGCATTCGTAAGCCTTCCATTCTCAATCTAAATTCACACTGATGCGATTCCAGGGTATTCCCTTCGAACAAATCACTAGAAATTCGGTTTTCCACGATACACGTTTTTGGTTCCACAACCGCCTTTGAGTTGTTGAGCAACTCATTTCTGAGAGAACCACGTGGGGTTTCAAATGCATGGTCTCCCTTGATTTTCTTAATTCTGACTATACCGGCCACAGAAGGAGCGAACATGAAACTTGGCTGAAATCCATAAAGCATAGTTCCCCACTGCGATTCAAAATCGCCAGAAATCTCCAATTCAACATTAATTTTGACGAACGCCAAGGCGACATCCAAATAGGCGAAATACAACGGCACGTATCCGTCACATTTGCGTAGGTACTCTGCGAGGTTCCCAGCAACGCAGCATTTGAAAAGAATGCGATCAATCAGAACAGTTGAACTTGACGTTAACTCAGGAACATTTGAGATTGTGACTCCACCCAAGAAGGGCGTGAACAGGACAAATTTTTCAGGATTGCAAGGTCCACCCGTTTCAGGTATGAGCTGCAACGAAGGGAATTTATCTTACAACGCATTCATAAAGCCAAAATCATACTTAAGGTCACTTACATCACGTATCCCTCGACACACGATAAGGTCAATCCTGAATTCAAACAACTCATCAGTTTGAGGCGGACGACCAAGGCACCATACGCTGCACTCTTCATCGTAGAAAGGTTTCAAGTTGGACGGTATTTTTTCATCGAAAGCACGCGAAATTTCTTCCAAATCTTTGGGACCACTGTAACAAGACGAAATTTCTGACCCGAACGAATCACCACCATCCTCCTTGGAGTAATCGAGAACACATTTTTCCATCACTGGAACATAACGAATAAAATCCTGTAATCGATAGCACTCGCATAAACTGGTCGAACTTCACCATCACGAAAAATTTATCTGATGACACGTATTTTCCACGCGGAACTCATTTTCCCGAAATCTCGAACAATGCAGGAAATTTCTCAAAATAACCGCAACGAAGTTTCACGATTGAATCGTAGTTCACCGCTGATCGACCAAACGTCAACATATCACATCTTACGGATCAGTCGCACAAACCGGCGATCTTCATCATCTACAAGCTCCTGAGGGAAGGTAGCTTCGCTTCTCCTGCCACTCTCCTTATCTAAATGTTCCAGTCTCGAGAGTTCCATGGTTTCATTTGGGTGCTAAACTTGAACAAAGTTGAAGCTTAGGTGTAATCTTGCTAGATGACGCTCCGTCGGCAAAGATTTTGAGGCTGGCATCTACCATCTTTAGCTTTCCTGCTGGCAAGAAAGCCAAAGAGGAATACATTATATTACCCTGGAAATCCATCTCACAGGAGCTAATTTGTACAGTACCACACATCCAGCTAACAGTTTGAATACTGTTCTTTCTACATTAATTATTTTCCTCACAGACACCCTAAAAAATTCTCACTACAGAATACAGTGAGACCCCAGATGCATGCACACTTAACTGCATCAAGAGTGTCCCTAAGTTGAATTCTCCATGTGTTGACTCTTGTTTTCCCATAGACTTACATTAAATTATTTTAATTTGTGTTTTATGGAAGAAATGTTCTTCAGAATTCCATGAAAAAAATTGTTTGCTACTTGAATTTGATTCAGTGAATATCTTTTCAACTCAATAAGAACATTTGGAGCTATGAATATTGCGCCTCTTTACAGTACATTAAAATATTGGCATCTGTAAAAATAAAATTTGTCACAAAGAGAGGATAAATCCCTCTATGCTATATGTAATTTTTTTAATTAGCTGAATGGATGGGAAAATGATGGGAGAAATACCAAAGAATTTTTCTTGCATAGATCTTAGGGTTTGAAATACTGTACAGTATCTGTTTCTTTCAATTATAAGCCTAATAAAAGCCAATTTTCCTGACATTTTTTAGCAATTTTATTCCTCATGTTGAGTCAGTGTCCAAACTGTCCATACATGTCAGACCTTTTTTATTGAAAAGTAAATGTTCCTAAGTCTAATTGTCTGCATGCCATGGGGGGTCTCACTGTATACTGTATTTGTTTTTGTTATAATCTACTCCTGCATATAGAGCAATCCAGTGGATTGTGCTATATTCATGCTGCACTAGAAAATTATTAAAGCAATGATGTGACTGCTGTTTCATTACCTCAAATTAAGATAAATGACTGGGATTGAAAAGTTTCCTGCTTTATCTCTACTTAACACTGCATGGTCATTCATCCTGCTTCAGTTGGAACAGGTCAATCATTTCCTATAAAATCTTGTCTCAAATAATTGACCATAAAATAAAAATTTTAAGATCACCAAATACGGTAAAGCGGTCATCCAGACCGTGTCAATTTCAGATTCTATAATCTACGCAACCCTAGATTTCCGTAGTCACTTACTTTGCCCAAGAAAGTGCGACAATGCGCAAACATGCCTCACGACAGTTACTGTATTGGAAAAAATCTTGCGAGATGAAAAACATTGAATTATACCTGTACACAAGAATAAATCAAACTGTCAGGAAAAGTTTGTCAAACGGCACTATACTTCCGATTCCATTGAAAAAAGATGCAAATGAAACTCGGCGACCTAACTGAACATCATACAGTAACAAAAATATATTCAAGTCAAACGGAAACTCTATTGCGAAAACATCAACAACTTATTTTACGAACCAATTACACACAAACACGGACAATTTTCCAGGAATCGCCAATTAAATTAGTACTGAAAAAGTTAAATGCAATTCAAATTACCTTACATCTTATTTCCACGAACGTTAAAGCCAAAGTTTTTGAACCAGACAATCGCGTCCTGGTTAAAAATTTCCATCGTCAAATTACAAAAGTTCCGACAAGCCAATGCTCTTTCAGCAATGGTATCCAGAGAAGAAAGTCTTCTTTTTTGTTTGAACATCACTGATTCTCTAACATACGTATAAACCAACAGTAAGAAAGAATGACTTCATCCAAAAAATCATCCCTCTCGCGGAAGACGCTCGGTCCATCTTCCTCACACTCTCAAAATTCTTTTTCTCAAAGCGTTTCCGAAATCGTATGAATTTCACAAAAGCGAATAATTTGGATACTTTCCGAGACCCACGCAACTTTCAGGATGGCACGCGCGGCGAGCTGACTTACAGAAAAAGCATACAAATCAGGATCACAAACAAACGAGGCCAGAGCGGGAACGTAGATTTCTTCACCGCGCGGCAGAATTGATTCGTATCTGTATCATTGAGCGGGTTTTGCGCGGTGAAAATTTCGTCTCCTTTTCCACTTCCTCGGTATCGCTGGCACACGCGGCTTCGTTCTCCATTCCGCAATCCCCCGCTTCCTCAGCCTCACCTCCACTGTCGGCGTCGTCATTCACACTCTCCTCGGACAACACACTCGTTTTCCCGGGAATGACGAAAAGGTATTCGAGGCAACCGAAACGGAGAACAGAGCCGTTGTGCAGTTCTGCCGCAGTCTCGTTCCACCCAGTTATTCCCTGGGCCTTTTTTTGAGGTAGAACGCCACACTTGCAGAGATCATTCCGTCTTCGGAAACCATCGGTCACAGAGCACAGATTGTCACGGGTTGCGAACCCATAAAGTTGATCATCGACGAAGGTCCCGTATCGGCTGTAGTTTAAGCACTCGAAGCGATTTTCCCGCTGCGGAATACAAAGAATCAATGAATAAACACAGGAAATGTGAAAAATGAAACAAAAAAGTGAGAGAGAACCTCTCCGAAAGCACAATTCATCAGCCAAAGGGCTTTGTTTTTTTACAATTTGGGAATAATCACAAAAAATCCTTTCATAACTACAGGATGTCCGAAAAGTGACAAAGGCGTAAATGCGTACGATAATTTTAATAATGTATTCTTGTTTTTCAATTTGCATGGACGAGGTTTTTAGTTCCGTTGATGTCGTGAGGTTAGGGTTTTTCACGTCAGCACACGATAATCACAACATTATGCAATCCACATTCCTAATTTTTATAAATGAAGAAAAACGTCGTTTCAGTGTATACATAACGTCATTTACAATTACACTGGCATTTAAACTTCACACTGAGTCACCGCTAGCTCAATATGGTTTAATCCTGTGAGCACTCAAATGCTGGGGGTACGAAATACAGTAATATAATTTTTAATTACCAATTTTAATGTTCTTTTTCATGAATAAATTTCGTAAACGTCTCAATTTGAAACACACGAAGAAAACCGATTCCTCCAAGGCAATGCCAACCTGTAATAATCGTAAGCATACTTAATTACTTAGTAAGAACTTGACGCGGAAAGCACGAATTCGGTACCGTGACTGTTACATTATCTTCAAGCAACGCAACCTCATCTCACGTCGCCAATCCAGGTAAAAAAATTCTTCTGCAAAAAGTCCGCACATTTTTTAAGTATGAAAACTCACCTTAATGTACATCACCTCCGCGTGATACGAAGACACGAACTGACACTTTCCTTCGGCGTGAGCATCCAGGGATAATAAACAATGCGGGGAAACTCCGATAGAAAACGAAGCGTCGAACACGGGGATTAATTCTCCCGCCAGTGAGCCATCGGGTGAAATCGGGGCAATGACGGCAAACGGTTCTCGTCCCAACTTAAACTCCGCTCGATTCTCCAGCACTTCCGCAAGAGATATTTTCACATCCTTGGGCTTCTCTCTCGGTTTCAGTTCGTTGAACACCAAACTTGATAAATATTTTCGCAACAAATTCTCTTTCAATTCTGGAGAGAGGTGCCCTAGTAGGAACTCTACAGGGTTTTCGGCGGTAGGAGGTATATGGAGTAGGTCTCCTTCCACATTGCTAAACAATAAAGTCAGTTAGTCAGTTTTCAACGTGAATATAAGAATGGAAAAACCAACTTACTTCGGCTCAACATTCTTTCCGATAGGAAGAGTCACACTGAGCTGCTGTACCGCGGACATAAGTGCAGAAGGTAACTGAGACTTCGGCTTCTCTAATAAAATCTTGGAGGTCACACCGGTTGCCACTGCAAAAAATCATACATCGGTTCAGTTTAAAAAGATCAATCTTTGTAACAGATTTTAATTCAGTGATTTAAAATTTCATTGGAATGCCTTATAACAGAAAAAAGGTACCGGGGAAAAACCTTACATATTTTTGTCAATTTGGAAGTTGAAATTTGTTTTTCCTTCGCTTTCGGCTTTGCGAGGACTTTGCACGAGAAGTAATTTCCTTTCCTTTTCTTTCTCTCCCGGTTCAGTCAATTTTTTTCGACGTAATCAACACCAATTTCGAAACACGCCTTCATGCGTTTCCTTACAAAAATTACAAAACAGACATGTCTGTCCAGCCAAAATTAAATTTTTTATTCATCCAGACAATTTTTTTACGTGGAAGTTTATACACCAGTTAAGAAACGGATTATGTACCGAGTGATTAGTGATTCAAGAAATCAAGAATCCCTTTCCAGCAGCAACTGCAACATTAAAGGTTCCTCAGAAAACTAGCTGAGACAATTCTCTTTCAATAAAACGACACTATCCGCAAAGGTCATTGCGGAATCACGTAAAATTTGCAAATGCACTTCGGGAACTTACATGACACGCGGATTTCCCGTAAAGTTCCCCAAGGCAAACCCTCGCCAATCTCCGTTGGCATTTGAAATACCAACAGCAAGCGTCGTCCGAGAGCTTCGAACTCCTTTTCCGTGCGACAGGTGACCGATTCTGGAGGTATTCTTCTAGGCTTCGTCACTTCTTCACCCCAACCTATACTGAGCACATCGTCGTCGACTTTAATTTCCGGCATTACCTTGGCAACTGCATCACAAGCCAAGTCTTCGACTTCTATGTTTTCCAGATCTGGCATTGAGCAGGCTTGCATAAGCTCGGTGAAAATTGAGGACTCGGCAGCAAGCAAGTCTTTCGTCTCCTGATCCTCGTAGCTAACAGGCTTACATTCATCACCGTGGTCATCGGAAGATTTGTATTCAAGCATGAGATCCTTCTGTTCCTCACTGGTGTCAATGCGAACTCCGGACGGTCCCGGCTTTTGTAATTCAACAGTTTCACTATCAGCGGATTGCGATTCTATACTTTCATCAACTTGGTGACATTTCTGGCCATCTTGAGACTGATCTGGATCCATCAGCCTATCGCGTTTTGCATGCATGGTCTGAATCACTCCCATAAACAGCTCAGCGTCTTCTGCTGAAGCCAAAGCAGCATCGGAAGATGAGTCAGTTGTAAAGCGTTCCGAATCGCAGGGTGATTTTGTACAATACGCGTTTATCAATGCAGGATGAATCTGAAAAATAACAAAAATAAAGGACAGTTGAAATCCCAGGCTAAGTTTTTAATTCAACCAAAAATTTTCAATTAAAATTTCCGGTTTCTAACATTTATGACAGTATGATGCATAACTCTAATTTTGGTCGTCTGCAATGAAATGGATGAATATTATCGCCGGTCTGCGAGAATTGAAAGGTTAAAAACATTTTCTGAAGGTTCAAATCAGATAAACGCGCTCTTCCAATTCTCGCGCAACATACCTTATTCCCTCGATTGTAGGAGGTGAATATGCTTTTTGACCTTCAAATACGCAAAAATGTCGACATCTTATCATGAGAAGCATTTTCGTTACATCAAATTTGTTCAGAATCCGAGACAGTTTAATATACTCATGCAGCAGTATCCAACATAAATCATGATTCCATGTCTTGTATTCTCCAAATGATCATTGATTCGAATTTCATGATGGAAAGTTTCTCAATCAAAAGGAAGGGTTGGTCAGAAGCAATCTTACATTTTATTTGCGAAATCAAGAAACGATCAAATAAAGAACACTAGCAGATGTACGACGCACCGCGATTTTTCTGGAATAATTTCTGCGATAAGAAGTACGCCACTATTTTCCCATAAATTATACATACATTCGAGTAAATACGCACCACTCAGAAATCGAATTGTGTCAGCTTTATCCTTACTTGAATTTTCTTTAGTGGACGACTCATGGGGCCCTCGGAGGAGTTGACAGAATGTGATTTGGCTCTTCGAAAGAAATCGAGAATGACGGAGCTCTCGTTAACGGGCAATGAAATTTCTCTCCGCCAAAGCTTAATTCTTGAGCTGCGACGACAATCCCTCCAAAGCTTCTTTTCCAAAGGTCGGATGGCGTGCTGCGGGCACATCCACAAGTATTTCGGCGGCTCCATCATAGGGGGCTCCAAGCACTCCAAATGGTAATAGAGCGGACAGTAGTCGCACTGAAGCAAGGCTTTCTTGAGACAACCCCTATTCGAAGACATTTGAAGAAATAGACATGATGTAAATACCCGCTCAATTTTCCAAATTCAGTATTAGGAAACTTTGAAACCACGCTAAGTGAACATGAAGCGAATTAGCGCAGTCATGAGCTAATGCATTCTGAATTAGACCGAGGACGTCACAAAAGCGACATTTTTCCGGACATCGCAATTTTTTTTTTTATTCCGGCACCAAATTCTCGACGACCATTATCACTACAGATAAGCCCATATAATGATATTCTTCTTAGAGAAAAATATGGATCAACCCTTCATAACTTACTTATGACATTTTGAGCAGAGTAGAGGACCTTTGCCCCTTTCCGCGCGTCGAACGTGCTCTGCGATCAGAACAGGCTTTATCTCGTTCCCTCCATAGGATGAATCTCTTCTGGGTTCGCCAGGAAATATATTAGCAGGAAACAGCCGAGGTACTCCGTGTAAAACTTGGTATTTTTTCAAGTTCATCAGCGGTAAATCGAGCTTGATTTTATTGAGAGCTGCTAAAACCGAAGATTCAGGATCCTCAAAGAATTTTTTCAAGACACCAGGAGGATGCGCTGAATTGACTGTCACTTTATCGACGGGCTTGATGTGGTTCGTACGAGTTCCTTTGACGTTTCCCAAGGGTACATGACTTTCAGTCTTCCGGTTGAATGCGGGAGATGGTGGCTTATTCTTCATATCTTCCAAATACTGGTTGAAGATTCCGTCATCATCGACGTCCATTTCAGTCAAATCTACATCACCGCTCACGTTCGTAGTACTTGATGGATTTACGCAACTCTGGCACTGGTCAGTTATTTGCTGTTTTTTGTTCGCACTCTTTTCATTCTCATTGCTAGGTTCAGTAAACGAAAGAGGCCTTTCGCAAAACTTTTTTACGTTAGGATGGAGCTGGAAGTCTTGGGGTAGAAAGTCAGTAGCACAGCACAAAATTTCATCGAGGGAATCAAGGATTGCTTTTTCTCCGGAACCAACCACCTTCCGTCGCGTTTTAACGGTGGAGAATGGTAAATGTATTCGAGTGTCAACATTAAGTATTGGCTGCTTTTTAGGGGTTTTCGGGACTTTCACAGGTGATATTTTCATTTCCTTGGGCTTTGGTTCTTCTTGGTCCACCTTTTTTTCTACTGGGGGTTCCGGATCGAGTTTTTCGGCTTCAGTAACGAGGGATTTCAGATAATCCGCTTCCTCGTCAAGTTCCTTCTGCGTTTCGCGACGGTACTTCTTTATATCAGCCAATAGTCCATCATACGCATATTTTCTTCTTCGAAAAGCTTTCGGCTTCTCTGTGGTACACATGAATCATTTGACTCAAGATCAAATCGTCTCTCGGAGGATTTCAATCATCTTACCTTCAAATCTACCAGAACGCTCCGGACGTTGCTTCAATTTCTCAGCAGCTTCCAAAGCACATTTGCGTTCCACGGGTAAAAGTCGCTGCAAAGATGACGGAATCGGTTCGCCACTTTCCGACCGACGCTAAAAATAAAAAAAATTAATGCAACACATTAACAGTGGCTCGCATGAGAAGGCACGTACACCACGTCACTTACTTTTATCTCTGTGCAACGGGTACAAATCCAATCACCCTCCGGAATGTCTTTTTCTTTCAGGGGCGGGAGGAGGCAGGTCAAATGAAATGAGCGCGGACAAAGTTCGCAGCAGATAATCTGTCCGCCTCTGCCGCAAACAACGCAGAAGTCGAAATTAGCCCACACTTCCTGCTTCCGAGCTCCGGAACTCGACTTTTGCTTGTCATCCAACGACTTGGAGTTGTCGCCTCGTAAAGAGTGGTCTTCGTCTGGCTCTCCGACATTTTCCCATTCCCCGGGTGGGTCGCACAACGCTCGAATTAACTAAGAAATGGAGACAAAATTGTCACGAAGTTGTTGCAAACTGCACACGAAAAACTTACGGGTAACAAACGATCCTTGGATAAATCTTTCACTCCGTGAGTATTCACTGGAACGGTCAGACCGCATGTGAGGTTCGGCATCGCAAAAACTCACGATGATCGGATAACGCATGAGAACCACAACCGTCGACGAACAAGCATGAACTGGGCTAGACAACACATTAAAATATCATATCACATCATACGCGGTGCACATCCATGCACAATAAATCTGAAGACGTAATCAGCATAACCGCCATCATTTTGCACCCGCTCTTCACGGAACACGGTAATCTTCATGCAATTTCAACCAATTTTGAATTTTAGAATGCTACTTTCTTTCCCTAATTCAGGTAGACGGTACTTGAATTTTGCGGTGGGTAGATTGGATTGTGCGGGTAACATGTACGGACAGGGTGCAATACACTTGGCGTTGGGCCACAAAGGAGGTGTTACAGATGAACGAAAGCTATAGAGCACAATAGAACAACAACATGCAGCCCATCAAATGCAGTTCAATCGAAGTTCCACCTGAAATACTAGTTTACTCTACTGTGCACTTATTCATTTATATTTTGATAAATGAATGGAGTGGAATGATGAAAAATGTTAGTCAGTCAGTAGTTTTTCACATGCCACAACATCTATGGACTAATAATGCATGCAGTGCATTACACATCAGTTGAAACCTGGCTGAGTCAAATATCTCCCTGAGTCAAATTTTGTGTAAGTCCCTATTTTAATTCCCTCGGAAAAAATGCATTAAAGACCTTCCTAACTCAGAGGCTTTTCCTAAAAAACCTCCATGCATTGAATTATTGAGGCCTTCAGGCTATTATATTTAATTGAAATAGGAAAGAACAAAGCAAGAACATTTTGAATTTCATGTGCTTTGAAAGGATGTGACAGACTAAATTGGGCAAGTAAACCCTTGTCTCCAAGTTGACAAGTTGAATGCCCTGTCAACTCATTTTAGAAGCAACTCAAGGCACAGAATAGCGCAATAATAAATAATTTAGTGCAATTTTGTTTCCTGCAATAAAAATGCTCGATTTTATAAGTCAAACATCTATAGTTCTATGCAACTTAAATCCTTCAAAAGTCAAATTCTTTGTTCGTCCCTTGAAATTTGACTTAAAGGGGTTCAACTGTATTAGAGTTGACCCAGCACATGGGCGCAACCTCATGGTTATACAGTATACAGTATCTATGGAGTAGGCATATATGACTATATACAAATATTATGATACAGCCCATGAAGTTTTAAGGTTCTGGAATTTGCTTCAGATTTTTTTCAAGCATTTTTAAAAATTTACTGAATGATTATGGGCAAAGCCTTTCCAGTATACAGCCAAAGAGTTCTATCCACAGCACATCTCATGGAGGTTTCTAAAAAAAATAGCAGGCCAGCAGAAGTTGAAATTTTGTTGTTGTTGGAATCATTATACTTGTCTGCATTTTAAATAGCGCTGGTTAAAAACAAAGACCTTGCCGTACTTCTCAAATTACATGGCCTGGGTTGGAGAAGTCGGGCTGTAACTGGAAAGATTTCACTTATCATCATACAGTAAATTGCACTTCTTTTTAGAATATAATAAAAACCCCACACCCTTAAAACTTCATGGGCTATCCTAATTTTTTTAAAGTCATATATCAACTCAAGAAATAACTGAGGTCATGCCCAAGTGTGAAATCCTCATATTTACAGATAAAAAGAAACGAGTTTTAAATTCCGTTATCACTTATATTTCACTGTAGTTATCACAGAACGAGAAGAGCAGTAAACACGTAACGTATTTTATTAATAACAAAAGAGCACCGCAAAAGCCTTCTTCATACTGTGTATGCCTCGAACAGCTTGCTGCGCTTTGTGCTGGACTGGGATTATTTGGTTTGATTCAATTATAGACAAACGGAGATTTTAATTTTTGTTGAATGAAGACATGATTCACGGTGAATCGCAGTAAATGCTGGATCTATACTTCCGTTTATCAGAGGCACATGGGAAAGTTGGAGATGCGCTTTATGGTCCGTTGCACCTGCTGTGCATAAAGAAGTGAGATTTTTGTTGTCTTCAAGCAATCAGAAAAGTTTGTAGAGCGAATCAGAGATTCTGAGAAAAATCGCTTTTCTCTTTGTGTAACGCTTCTTCGGCTTTTAAATGAGATATAATAGAAGAAATATATTGCACATACAAAGATACGATACTGCATTTATTTTCATAAATCAGAAGTAAAAGACAGTAAATAACCTCTACAATAAGTCATTTGATAATTGTCCGAAACTTCAAAAAATATACTTCAATCGCTTCATTGCGACTTTACACATGATGAAATAAATCAGTTTAGAATTATAGATCGTGAAAGTTTCTTCATGTGTCTACGTTTTCCAATAAAATGGAGTTCAGTGATTAATTAAAAATTGTTTTTTAGAAATATAGCAAATGAACACAGTGTTTCACTTCATACACATGCGTGTCTGACTTTCGTGCTCAGTTCTAGAAAGATAAATAACTTTCTCCCTCAAAAATAGTTTCCGTTTCAAAACTTTTCATTTCACAACGATTTTTCAACCTGTTCATTATGGATCGAAAATAAAAATTTAGCTCTCGTGGATCTAAAACCCTGCGAAGTTCCATGAAGTCCTATATTTACCACCCAGTCCTAAAATTTGAAATTGTCATTTTACTGTAACTGTTGGTTCAGCTATTGTAGTTTACTCATGAACTATGAAGAAAAAAGCTGGTTAATTTTTCTAGCGTCCGAATGGAACCGAGACAATTTAGCATAAGAACTTACAAAAAATTGATGAGGATCAATCTGTGTTGACATCATACAGAGAGAAAAAAAAAAGAGGAAACGAGTGATACTCTGGGAATCGATTTCTATCTTTCCCTTTTATCCATTGCCAAATGTCTAACAATTCGTTGGTTTAAAATTCAATTTTAAATGGAAAACAAATATTGATTCCCAGATTGCTTTCGATTGTGATTCCAACTGTTTCTTACACCTTAAATATTACACGGGGAAGAAAATCGATCACCTTTTCTAAACGGCATCCGATGATTCTTTTTTTCCAGTTTTTCCAGATAACTTGAAATACCGTTCTTTTCCATCATGCAAGAAAAGTGAAGCAACTTCAAATTTTCTCTCGGCCATTTCTTTCCTTCTGGCCTCGATTCCAATTCATGCTATCGTTTCCATTTCCTTTCCACGGCATTCCGTCTGAAAATAGACTCGGAAAAAATTTCACTCGAACAACGACCGACACGAAGAATCGACACGGCTTTGAATCGAAATTATTTTCGTTTTAATTTCACAGCCTTCGCGAATTGTTCGAAAAAGAGAATTTTTTCATTCGTTAACGCTCTACACTTTTCCTGTTCCGCGTAGCTCGAAAATAAAAGCATCACAGATGACGTCACAACAAGCGGAAACAAATTTTCCTCCGCGAAACGTTTTCATGAAAACAAAGAAAATTCAAAAAAATGGAGAACTGCTTTTCCGATTGCTCGACGTCCTTCGAATTGAGATCCTCCATTTGAGAGGGCTCCAAACCAAATGTCTTGAGAAGAACAACAGACGGAATTTTCTTCGTGTTTCTTCATTACAGGGTTTCTTCTGCTATCTCTTCTCAGCACAGAAGGACGTTTTCGGGAAGAGGGCGCAGTGAAGAGAGATGAATCTGTGCGAACAAATCGAAAAAACATGATCAGCAAAAATGCAAAAAGGCCATTTAATCGAAGCAAAAGCAAGCAATAAGAAATCATTATGCTGAAATCTTGAAAAAAATAATGAATTAATGCCTCGAACCGATGGAGAAAACAAACCCACAAAACAGAATTCCTTGGAAAATTGATGTAAAAAATTGAAACCCTTCCAAAACGTGTTGAGTCACATACCAAAAATCTTTCGAAGCAGTCACACATAATGAACAGATACATTTCTGGGTTTCCCCTTCAGAATAAGAGAAGATAACTTAGTCTAGCATCTATCAGAACAGATACTGTACAGTACTTATAAAAATTGAATGGTAAAATGCAATTACATAAAAATATAATTTCTCAGCCAAATTTAATTTAGTTAAAAAAATGCAACTTCCGTTTAAAACCTGCAAAATTCGTTTGAATTTACGACCCGAATGACTTCTCTCTAATGCGGGAAGTTATTGAATCATTTTGTAGATGTCGCCAGAGAATAAGTCCTGTCACATGGATGTACGGTATTACAGTATTTACTCTCTTTCTAGATTTAACTCGCGATTTGGCTTACTATTCTTCCTCTTACCAAACTTTAAACTTTATGGCCGATCAGAACTTTTCAGATCAACAGGATGCCTTCAAAGAACTAAACCAATGACCAGTATACAGTACAGTACTGTTAACGCTACCGAAACTTATGGAAACCAACCACACAGAACTTCGCGAAAAATAGTACACTCTTCCTATTGTAGATGTCGCCAACGAATGCGTTATTCAATTCCCAACAAAAAACGCAAGCCGCCAGATTCCCCGTTACTCAAGTCTACTCGCTTTTTCGTTCTCTCTATTCATCCTCTTTCAATCCTCGATTCTTTCCGAACCCACGATCACCCTAAAAGGCAGCTCGCAAATCTCATCCAGAAGCGCCCCTGATCTAAAGGCGACTCGCCAAATCAATTCCTTTGTCTCTCTCAAAAGCAACAGCAGCAGCAGCGGCGTCGCCTTTTTCCAAACTGTCACCCAGTCCCAAGCAGAGAACAATCGCACCGCCTTCCTCCATAAATTAAACCGCTCGCAACCAAGAAGAGAGAGAGAGAGAGAAGAAAAGGAAGAAGAAAACAAGGCCAAGAACTTTGCTTGAACAAAAGAGAAAAAAGGGGATGAGATTCGATAATGAACCTGCCATGCGACTCCCCCCCCCCCCCCCACCCCGCCCGGGGCGGTAATGATTCCCCCCGAAAGAGATCCAATTAACCGGCCTCCGCAGGGACCAAAGGCGCTGATCTCGTTGGCCGATAAAAGAAAAATCAGCCCTTCGGCTTGAACCCAACCCAACCCCACCCAACAATGCAACGCCCCTTCAATTAGCGAGTGTTGCGCTGAACGATTGAATTTTTGCGTCATTCGGAGAGAAAGGCCTGGAATTTCGTGCAACTGCGCAAAAATGGGGGACGGGGGATAAACAAACAATAAAGCTCTTCAGTATCATCTCCCAGGGAGGATTGCAACGTTTCTTGCGATAAAGAAAAATCCACAAAAATTCTCAACATCTGATTTTGAATAGAAAAAAATAGACTCTGATATAAAAAAAAACCGCACAGTTTGAGGCAGTAACATTGAATAAAATCTCGACATGTGAAAAAATACAGCAACAATCTTTCAAATACATGCGGAAAAAATAATATTTTGCCTAATTGGGTTCCAGAGGAACTCCCAATTTTCCTCCAATTTCAGCAGATTTAAATTCTCTACTAACGTAAACAATTTTCCAGGATCTCAAAATTGCATACAACACGTATTAAAATTTAAATATGAAACCATACTAGCGGGATGCCTGTGATTTTCGCGGCATCAAGGGACAATCGCACATTTTACTCGAGAGGTTTGAATTTTCAAAATACTGTATCCAATGAAGCAATCAAAGTAAAATTTCAATCCTAAAAACCATTCAGAATTTCAAAAAGATACTGTATTTGACGAAACGAGTTTAAACTAAACTAGCTTTTTCACGACCTGTTTGAATTCCGAAAACATACAGTAATACTGTAATACCGTATATACACCTTGAATTTACGAGAGGATTTTTAAAATTGCTCGTAAAATCCTTCTCACGTGATCGAATCCCAAGAAAGAGTATAAAGATAATACTATCGAATATTTATTCGAATATTTAGTATAAAAATAATACTCTCGAATATTTATTCGAATATTTAGTATAAAGATAATACTCTCGAATATAAAGATAATAAGCATGGACACACGTATATAATTTGGTTTTGAACAGATCTTTTCATCAAATTGAAAAGACAAATTCGTGAAGAATACAATGTAATTAATAAGCAGTCGATGGTGGGTTGAATATTTCATATTAAAAATTACATGAACTGGTCAGCTGAAACAGTTTAGGAAAAAAAAATCATCACATGTCCATTACCAGTCTTTTAGGAATCGAGAAAATTATTTTCATAACAACAAAAAACAAATTTTTTCCTCATTAAATATGCAGAAATTTTACCCACCATGTATTCGGAAACTCTGGGTACTGTATATTGAACTCTTCGCATCCATGAAAAACTAGAAGCCCACTCATTAAAAGGCAATCTCTGCAAAAAGTCAGCGAATCTGACGATTGTGAGCCTAGGGTAGAAGAAAACGCGTCTCAGACTTCCAGATGAATTCTTTAAATTTCGCACTAGGAAATGCATCGAAAATTTCGCCCCTCTTCCCAGATCGCGGATTCATTTCCAACACAGGAGATTGAAAACGAATCACGTCCTGAATTGCTTTTCCCTATCGAAAAAAAAAATCGCAGGGAGGTTCTCAAAAAAGCCCATCACAGAGGCCCAAAATGAAATCGACCGTACGCATGTACGGTAAGCTATTTTTCTATGAATTCACAAAATCATTGAAAAGTGCATAAAAACGAGTCCTATCAACCTTCAAGATGATGGCGAAAAATGGGGCAGAAAAATGAAAGAAAACGCCGGCACCTGAAAACATTTGAATTATTCCCAAGGTGAAAATTTTTATGCTGAGCATATCCGACGAAAAAATCAAAATTCCACTAAAAAAAAATTTGGATACATGCTTTTATCTGAGTAATAAAAACATTCTCAGAATCCGGTGAGAAATGCACTTTTGTCAGAGATAATGAAATTACAGTACAGTACATTAAAATTTGAGATCGTCCTTGTTCTCATTTGCCAATGAATCGCAAAAAAAAAAAGTCCATGCTGGAAAATTTCAAGAACCTCGAACTGTGAAACCAAACGAGCATTTCGCAATCGTCAATATAATCAACAATTAGTACACGACCGTAAAACGACGCAAAAATCGCGGGTTTTTCCCTTTCTGCAAAATTGCCACGAAGGACAAGCATTCATACAGATAACGGAGCATTCCACGCCATGCACAGTTTTTGCAGGAATTCGAGAATAGAAATAGGAGCGGAATTCAAAAGCTGAATTCAGCGGAAAATTTCCGTTTTTACGACCTGGAATTCCAAGCAGTCGTGCAAACCCGTTCAAATGTGAAACCAGCGAGAGTAAAATTTTAGAAAATACGTTCGTCATTCGCAAAGAAATCCAGAAAAAAAAATCTTACAGGCCGTATGATTGTTCGTATTATTTTTTTTCGAGGTCATATTTTAAATTTGTTATTTTCTCCCAGTGTTAACGCTACCGAAGGAATTTGCAGGCCTCCCAACGTAGAAACAATGAACAATTTCAAGTTTCCGCCAGTAAAAATGAACTGAAATAATAAAAGATTCTATGCTTGAAAAATATACTTGAAAGAAATCATTGAAAACGAGGAATGTTTTGGCTAAAACTTCACTCACAGTGCATTATTGCAGAATTGCCAATTCGGGCTTACAAAATTTAAAATTTAATAAATTACATTTTCGGGTCAAGTTGCGAGTGATTTACCAAGATATTACATTCAACAAAATATAAGTGTGAAGTCAATTTTCAAATACAGTACTTCGATTGAAATTCTATGGCAGAACTTCTGTACTTCATTTATAATTACAGTACATCCACCTTAAGATCGCTGAGCTCATTTCATCATAATACGAAATTTACAACACCTGTTCAAATTTAATATTCCCTTTATTTTAAAAATATTCCCTTTATTTTTAAAAATATTCCCTTTATTTTAAAAATATTCCCTTTATTTCAAAAATATTCCCTTTATTTTAAAAATATTCCCTTTATTTTAGAGCATTCCTCGTAAGTTGATTAAGATTTCGAAATTTTCTAAATATTGTTTTTTCTAGAAATAAAATTCTAGAATAGCCGGCTTCTAGAATTCACTGTTACTCGATTCTTCAAGAAATATTCACAAAATAAATCGTGAGGAAATTGCTGATTTTTCTTGGAATGGAAAATTTTCCGAGAGCTGAATCATTTCGTCACCAACCCCAAGATATATTAACTGCTAGTTCGGTAAGCGCATTTTGTAGACCCAAAAGAACCCTAGCCGTCCAGTGGTTTTAGCGGTCACCCTAGTGGTGAAAAAGTAGCAAACAAAACTTACAAAATAAAAATAAAACACGTACCTTGTAGGGTCGGACTCCAAGTCGAATCCATCCAGAGGCAAGACGTTCATCTCGAACCAGTACTTCGAATAACTGAACGTTATCTGTGGACGAGAAAAAGGGAACCGATCAATAATTAAATCTTGATATTCACAATAACCAGTATTTGGAATAACTGAATGTTATCTGTGGACGAGAAAGGGAACCAATAAAAATTAATTAAATCTTGATACAATTCATAAAACCAAAATGCAAAAGATTGCATGCAACGGAATTTACGTCACGTCGCACAATACATCATTCACGTGACCATTCGAGCATAACGAGTCAAAAGTTCACAACGCTGTTTTCGTTGTAAAGGTGTATCAAACCCAAGAATTTTCAAAGAATGTCAATAACTCTCATCAACACTGAAAGGACTATATGCTGGACTGCCTCAAATAACCCCTTACCTAACCTTCTTCGTTAAGTTAGGCAGGATTAGTTACCATGTGTCATCAAGGGTTGCATGTGGGTTTCAGGTTAACCTAGCCCTTTTTTCATCGGCCTCCTCGCCAGAAAAAAAACTGCAGGAAAACCCATTAAAAACACAGACCATCCATTCAACTTCTCCAATTTTAACGCTTGAAAAATAAATGATTCCTGCATAAAAACACTTCCCACGCTCGAACAGTGAATGTCAGGTTCGTTAGCTCACCGTTAATTTCAAGAAGAAATAACTGCACACACAAGGACAAGGCAACACCCGCCTCTAGAAGAGCGTAAAAGTCTCGCACATTGTCAATCAAGCCCCGGGGAGTTTTTACAACAGTTTTCCTTCATGTAAAACCAAGATGGAAAACCGCCTACCCAAGAGCTATTCCAGCCTACAAAAGAACCAACCTAGGTACTGTATTAAATTTAACCTCATAGAGACTAGTTACCTTACTTGAGACTTGACCTATTATAGCCTGCAAAAAAAAAGCACTCAACTTCGACCAACCTATCTGACCTACGCTAAAATTAAACAAATGCAGGTAATTCCCCGAGAATTAAATTAATTGATTACTGCAATACCTGTCCATCTTCGGTGTTATTCAAACGTGTTGAATCTTCTCAAGAAAAATAATTTAAGCTTTTGCCAGCTTTAATCAATAAAAAAAAACTTCACATGTCCACCTAACCTACGCTTTAATCATTGTGTAAAATGGGGTGACTTACACAAGCTACCTGATTTTTCATCGTATGGAATTTTCTTTAATAAAGGTTGGGTCTGAGTAAAGCTTGAAGCAAATAATAGACAGGTATTAAAGGGTTATTGAAAAAGGGGCGGGGAGAGGATGGAAAGAATCCTGAGAATTCTCTTAATCCAAAAAGTCAATTATACACCCATGTATTAAGAGTGAAGAAAGAAACCCTTTCCTGTAATCAATTTTGAAGGCATTACTGTCTCATTCTTCAAGAAAAAAGTTGATTTCAATATGGGGTTTTTCCAATATTTCACCAGGGATTCCCCCATTCTCCTAGCTTCTTTTTTTTTGTCCAGCAGTCCTAACTGCTGTAAATATGAACCAGTCTCATCTAATACTTGTTAATAAAATTATAAATAAGTCTCTGTTAACCCTCAGATGGCAGCAGGTTGCTTTACATTCTATAGCAAAGTCAGGATTTTTCCGAACACGGGCAAATATCCGTTTGACTAAAGGTCTCCAAATCAACCTGAATTCCAACTGCCCAAGTCAGGAAAAAACAGAAATGAATCCCTTTTGTTTTCAGAAATATGAAACGTTAATCCGATGGTAGGAATGCAGGAAAAGAAAAAACTACCCCCCCCCCCCACCAGATTTAAAAATATTTTTTAGCCAACATTTTCTACAGGAAGAAACGAAAATATTCAATTTTTCGCCAACGTACGCCTTGGCTCCAAACTTCGGTTCTTTTCTTTTCAATGCTCATGCTGAGCACAATATTCCGCAAAATTATATCTCGATTTCGCTACAAAACGGTTGAATGTCAGGACGAGAAAAGCCCAATACAGGTAAACTCTCTCTACAAAACCTAGCCCAAAATGATTTTATATGCATAACGATTTTGTTGTTGGCCCCATAGGGTCTCTCCCCATTTTATATGGATTCTATGAAACGGAATTCTCTCTAGAACACATTTTCTTTTCTGGTTCCTTGAATTGCGTGGCAAAGAGCCCACCTGTAATTTATTTACTTTTCAAAATAAACTCGGGGGGAGTTTATCAAGGCATATACGGTAGCTCATGTGTTATTCTAACCGTTCTACCCCAAGTTCCCAGTATACAGGGGAAAACGTTGGGCGACACCCGGTTCTTGAAGAGCGTAAAAGTCTCGGGACATCGCGGATGAAGCCCCCGGGATTTTTTTTTTTACAGCAGTCGTCCTTCAGGCTCCGGTAGGTAAGAAACCCATCAGTCCACCGACTGCCTTCGGGTCAGCGACAGTGACTTATAACATCCCCCGCGGTGAGCATCACGACTCGGACCGCACAACACAAAAAGACTGCCGGACGTTTTTTACAGCTTGTCCCTTGGCTGCACAAGAGGTCATCAAGATCCGCTTTTCATCCCAGTATGGGCCTTACGAGTTGTAAGAAGACGGAATGAATTCGAGCCGACAAGTCGAGGAATAAACCCCCGCAACTGTTGTGTCCGCCGGACAGGTTTCTCGGGGCTCAAGAGGGCTTGGCTGATCCGCAAGTTGGATTTGATTTGAATAAAGGGAATACACGTGGACTCTCTCTCTCTATCTCTCCCTCTACAACGATCTCGTCTACAACAATTTTCTGCGGTCAAACGATTATTTATTTTTGTCCCATTGGGTTCTTTTCCCGTGTTACGGAGGCACGTATACAACCAGAAAAAAAAAAAACGGAGAAAAATTCGCCGTAGAGAGAAATTTTGTTGTAGAGAGAGGCCAACTGTACACGACAGGTACGTCTGTGGGTTCTGCTGCGCGCAGTCCAAGAAAAGATGTCTCGAAAAGATTTCCTCGAGATTTAAAATAATTTATTTGTTAAATTACAACTTTGATGTTGGCATGCATCAGGCTTTCACAAAAACTCCAGTCTCACATGAATGCACGGATGGCTGAATATTTTTCTTTCGGTTTCTATGACAAAGACACACTCCCTCTCTCTCTCTAAAAAAAAAAAAAGATTCTCACAAGCAGTACAGTATTATATTTTTCACGACAACAAAAACTCGCGGTTTACCTAGAAAAATTCCCATTAACGTTTTTCGCAATTTATACTTGATCGTTTATAGATTTCCGGAAAATTCCGGGGATTTTGTAATTTTCTTCTCTGATCCAACGGCAAAATATTCAAGTTTCATGATACCTCAAGGGAAATTCGTGCACTGAAATTTCAGTAAAAATAAAATCCAGGACTCAAAAGAATTTCGATTTCCTGGACATCAACTACAGCTGCCTGATACCATCTTTAAATTATACACTTGCCAAGCTAAACATAGGAAGGATGCAGCGAAATAAATAAAAAATGCATTATTTTCAATTAAGCATGGACACTTTTCACATGTTGTCCGTCCGATGGATAAAAATGATGGGAAACTATTTTAGATTTCAATTTTTTAAAGATTAAACTTTTAAATTTGTTCGCTAATTTTTTAGAATCCTGGCAAATCACTCAAAGTTGCAAAACCGGGACTACCCGTGCATGAAACCATTCAACCCTCGATATAAGAGACAACTTTCCTTCAAAGGTAATTTCTCTTGAACGTAAAAACCCGAAGCAACTAAAAAATATGAGGTCATTCGATTGAGACTCGCATAATCGTCAATTTCACGGTTTTCGACAGTTCGAATCATACAGCACATGTTACTCTTCGAAATCCTCCCTTTCGGCCAAGTACCTAAAAAATGCATTTTATTTTTCCATGCAACAGCGCATGGCGTTTCATCGACAGCCGCCTTCACAGCCACCACATTGGGGCTAATGTGGCGGCTGTCGATGAAAATGGCGGAATTGCCTTGGATGACCTCGAGGCAACCCTTAGAAAGAATGCCAAGTTGATTTCAAGAATTCTGAGGGGAAAGCTGGGCCACAAAAAAAAAAACTGCAGGAAGGGTGCCCCATCTGTTGAGTGTATAGCAAAACTCTGCCAGGGTGAATTTTGCAAAACATTGAAAAAATTGTCAAACAGGGCTGATTTTGTTTTGTGCCGAAAAATATGGTTGCCCTAAAGAATAAATTTTTTCAGGTCGATCAGACGCCATTTTCATTTTCATTCCGACAACTTTTGTTATAACCCTCGTATGTCTACCAAAAAATTGCGACTTCGAAAAGTTTTGGTAATTACCTGCTCAGGAAGCTCCTCGGCGGAGATGGACTTCATCGGCTCGAGATGGGAATGGAAGCCCTTGATCACAGTCAAGTCTTGTCCCAACAAATGCTCTGCAAAAAAAAAGGGGAGGGGGAACAAAATTCACCGCCATTAAAACCACGCACTTGTTAGCCAAACCATCTGCTCATCTTCTCACGCCAATTAAAAGAAAAACCGCGGGACTCCTCTTGGAGCAATTTGCAAAAAATTCCTTCTCATTAAAACCGGAAAATCTTGGAAGAATACGAAAAGCCCATTAACCGGCGAAAAAATTCGTGGAATAGTTTCCGGCTGACGAGGAAATGATACTCGGTTCACGGAGCCTCGAAGACGTCGAACAAGAAATTTCAATTTGCGTTTACGTCATAAAATATGGAAAGACAATCAACTTAATGCATTGAGTGTCGAAAAAATCATTTTTGCGGAATATTTTTCGGTTGTTCAAGGGAATTCACTCCGATCAAAGCCTCTAATATGCGTTGAAAATTATGTTTAAAATTTGCATACAGGGCACAAACAATTGCTTGATGCAGTAATGTGTTGTAAATGTAAAAAAACTTTCATGATTCGGATTACAATTAGCAAAGAAAATGAACTCACCGATGATGTAGCCCATGGTAACGTCGTCGGGGAGACGGATTCTATCTCCGATGCTGATGAATTTTCCACCGCTGCACAAACAGAAGAGAGGGGCAACCTTTTTTAATGGGTAAACAATTTCATCGGGGGCAAAAAAAAAAAGGGGGAACCCCACTTTGGAGCCCCATCCCAATTATCCGAAATCCGTAAAAATTATCTGCTCTTTTCCTTTTTTGGTCTGCGGAAATTACCTGGCGATCGGCATCATCTTCAGGGCCAGCGATCGACTGATGCAGAAACCAGCGCCCCCGGTTGCAAACCAGAAGGAGATCTTTTTCTGCAGGAAAAACAAAAGGAAATATGCCATCATGAGATGAGGAATTACACTTTTCCAAGCATAATTGGGGTCAGGGATTCGATTTCCTCCAAAAAGTACACGTGGAATCTCTCCACAATGATTTTGTCCACAACATATTCCTCCGTAGAACGATTATTATTTTTTTGGTTCCATTGGTTTCTACTGTATATCCATCTTGTACGAGTCCTCTACAACAAAATTATTTCCACAACGACTTTTTTTCTGGTCACCTAAATTTCGTTGAAGAGAGAGACCAGCCGTGTAAAATGTCCGAAAATATTATGCGCGGTGAGAAATTTGGAAGTCAGTTCACGAATTGTCTTTGTTCACCGTTATGAAGAATATTCAGATGCTGATAGATGTCACTAGTAGTTACAATCACTGGTAGTCAATTGACAAATTGTCCTTGTTGACCGTTCCGAAGAACTTTTTGGATGCTGATAGATGTCACTGGTAGTGACAAGTCAATTTTACATCGACTCGTTTCAAGTTGAATTTTATCCGCTTTTCAGTTTCTTAAATTTTCGCTGATGCAGTAGTACGATACTGTACACAGAAGTGGATATACAGTAGTTCCATGTGAAGTTAAAAAACAGTATAAAAAATCAGGACTTTTCCAGGATGAAGTGACTTCTTGATATCACGAAAAATTCACATCAGACATTCCCCTTCAAAAAAAAAAAAAAAAAATGAACCAAGCGAAAAAAACTTGTAAAATTCACAGGAACCTCAGAATGCGACCTAGCCGCTAATCCGAAAAATAAACCCCCAACATTTGCACACGGGAGTCCCACATGTAGCTCACCCCCGTCGCGGAAGTGATGCGGCAGAGATTCTTTTCGGTGTGAGAATAAAAATTCAGAAAAAAATCTTCTTTGCACGATTTAAAATAATAAAAAAACCGGTAACATTTTAGGGAAAAAAATAAACAAGGTAGGGGTGCCACGGGAGGAGATTGACTTCTCACAGGGTGTACAAACGACCCATTCAGTCCGAGCCCACGCATGGGCTTCGTCGGATAAAGGGACTGCGGGTGTCGGGGGCGAACGACATTTACAATGACACTCAAATACAGGGTGTCTGCCCAGAAACCTTTTGAAATGAAACTTGAATATAAAATTAAAACAAAGTTTTATTCCTGAGAAAAAATAATACAGCACAGTACTCCAAAAATATCGCATCGACTCCATCATATGAAGTTTTTTGTTGCAGAAAATGGCTGCGAAAATGTGTTGTGGACCAAGATTCAAAGGTAATGTTGGCCTTTTTGCGTCCGACCAACAGTATATACCGAATGAAATTTGTCTAGAGCCATTTTCAGTACAAGGAAAAAAAATGCTCCTGTAGAAATTCCGGTTTTCATTAGATATGATCCAAATGATGACGAAAAAATTGGTTCACTGAAGCAGGAGCAAACTCAACGGACTCCTACTTCTTGAGGACAACAAAGTGCGTCATTCGAATGCACAAATTTTCCAATTTCGACGAACAAAAACAGAGGGCGTCTCGTGTTTCAAGCCGATTTCTTTGACTTACCCGTGGCATTTTTCTTCAGGTAACCGAAGTGAAAATTCCCCTGGAAATTAGGTACCTCAGATAAAAACTTGAAGTTGGACAAGTTTACGCATGATTCAATTATCCAAAATTAATAAACGTTTCTTACCGCGACAAAGGACAAACTTCAAAATGATTTTACTTTACTGTACAATTAATTTAAGCTAAAGAATAGGATATCAACTATGGAATGAGTAACATCAAAGGTTTCGCGTAAGTTTTTCCTGCCTCTCCAAAGAGCATTTCAGCGTCATGAAGCACGAAATTACAAGTATGATCATTAAATCATCCGACCTCGAGGAGTACATACAGTACAGTATCTTGAAATAAATTACAGGCATGTTCAAATTTATTACAAACAAAAGCAAAGACGGAACAATCTAAAAACCGGGTAACGGCGAACAGCTTTCGAATAAAGGTAACGTACCATACCATAAAAAAAATTCAAACGCATTTTACCCAACCCAAGTCGGGAATTAAAAAAAAAAAAGCAAATCGAATAATCCTGTAGTCAGAGAATCGAGGTGTTCAACGAAAAGAAGTTTCTCTCCCTATTCAAGCAGTACAAAGAAAAACAGGATTTTTTTGGAACGTGGTACCAAAAATGTCATTAGATTTAATGTTCAGAAATTTTAAATTACCGTACGCTAAAAAAATAAAACAATGCGTGTGGGATGAAAGCAATGATCAGGAGACAATAAATTCGGTGCCTATGATATTGAGAGGAGTGTTACTGTATCATCTTACAAAGCCTCCAAGATGAGTCTTTTATCCCTGTGATTGCTCAAATTTCAGCGAAACACACCCCCAGAGGTTCAAGTTTAGAAAAGAAAAAAGACGAGGTTCTCTCGAAACATACGAAGTGTGAGTTGTGTGGGGGATTCAGAGACGAACACCAACGTTTTTTCCCACGTAGACACCCTTCGAAGGAACCCAAGTCGCAAATCGGGCCCGACAAGAAGACACCTCCGAAATTTATTAGCATTCCGCGTTCGGGGAAGGAAAAAGAAAGTAAACACACAAGAAGAGAAAAAGCTGGGATCTTTGCCGGATTTGGACGCCCGCTGAGACACAAGTGGACACATTCCACCCAAAAAGACGGACATTCTTCCGCCACATTTCCCTACACGCGGCACAATTTCGTGTTTTATTTTTTTCTCTACACCCGCAAACACAAATGAATATTTTAAAACAGGTGGGCATCACAAAAAAATATTCATCTAGATTTTTTCGCATACGAACAATTTCTCTGTGGTCTCAGTAGACCACCTTTATGGTTGATAAATGAGCGCCTATCAAATATATTTGTCAGTTGTATTTCTTGGAATACCTGCTTGGATTTGGAACAAAATCTTTATTTAACAAAATACAGTACAGTACTACATCCAACCCCTAACCGTTATTTTACCTTGAAAAAATCAAAATGTACTCAAGGACGATTCCGCGAACCACGGGTTGACATACTGTACCGTGGTTAACAACAAAATCTTTTTTCAAGGCTTCCTCCTCATAATTTTTCCGAAATTCCAAAAGCAAAATATTAATGAGGTGGAGAAATGCACTTACCGAGGAAGGATCCTTCCCGGGGATCTCCAACGGGGCAGGGATAGAGGGTTTACCCAAGTAAACGTTTTCTTGGGGATCGTAACGTCCCAGAAGTTTCACCAATTTCGGCACGTTCACGTAGTTGTCGTCGTCAAAATGACAAAACCACCTGGAAAAGATCGATGCAAAAAATTAAAGAATGTCACAAATTGTCCAGAGCTTTCATGCTAACTTCCAAGTTCAATTATTAGCCCTTGCAATCGCGGGAAGAAAATATCAAGAGCAGATTATCTTCGCGGATTTCTTGATCGGACGGTTGGGAAGACGCCAAAATGACGAAATTTCAAAACAGNAGAATGTCACAAATTGTCCAGAGCTTTCATGCTAACTTCCAAGTTCAATTATTAGCCCTTGCAATCGCGGGAAGAAAATATCAAGAGCAGATTATCTTCGCGGATTTCTTGATCGGACGGTTGGGAAGACGCCAAAATGACGAAATTTCAAAACAGCACTCGCGAAAAATAATTACAAACGCATTCGAAGAACAAGTGCAGTACATGACATAAATCTGGTGTGTAGAAAAAATTCAACCGCACCAGACAGTGATTCAAAGTCGCCTTATTTGGATTTTTAATTCTCATTTTTTGAACCAAAAGGAATAGAACAAAACATAAATCCTTTACAGTTGATCTCTGGCGCAGTTTTTTGCTTGAATATTTTTTATTTCGCGTACTTTTTCAGCCGATTTTGCAGACACGCTCACCTTCCACAAAAATTAGCGCAACTTGGAAAACAAAAAATAAAAAACGCGAAGTAATCGCTATCAAATTCGAAGATTGACCATGAGGATGATGTTTTGTGCTCTCAATCCAAAAACTCCATTAACGGGAACACATGCCGTGAAGATTGCTTTTTATCCCAGTCGGACCTCAATTTGAACTTTATGCAGTACTTTAATACGGTTAATTTTTCAGCTCAGTAGAAGCTTTCTTCTCTCTTTTTTTTAAAAATCAGATCCAAATGGGTGGAATTTTGAATGTCTCTCAGGGCCTGTCATCAGTTCATTACGAAGAAATCGTCGCCAGGGGAATTTCATAACAGCAACCACAGCAGCGACTCGGGTAACTCAAGAGTCCTCCTGCTGCGCGGAAAGGAACTGTCACTCCCTGGCGTGGGTGCAGCTTCTCATGCAGAGGGGCTCTGTGATGGATTTTTTTTCCTCACTGAGGTACAAAGCATCACCCCACTAAACCCACAAGTCAGTCACCTGAATAATTTTTTCCTTTCTTGTAATCTAAGACCCGCATTAGCAAATTTAAAGTCTTTTTTTAAGAGACTGTGACGTTGCTACAGATAGGGTCTCTCGAAAACCCGACACCAAGTCTGAAAGTGGGAATGCGGTCATTTGAAAAAAAAAAATCTCTTGAGACAGTACCAAAAAATAAATAATTTATTTAAGAAAAATAATTTCTTGAGTGCACGAGAAGTGAAACATTTCTTCGAGCGATTTGTCAGGGGCTAACAAGCCTCAGTGACAAAGATTAATGTTTCGGTTCAGTTGAATCGAATTATGAAATGATGTAGTCTCAATCGGCCGTTTGCGGCCTGAGGTAAATACCTCAACTCCTTGAGTATGTTCTTCCAAATTTCCAACAACAAATTTCCAAGATGATTTTCAGCACACACAAAAAATACGCAGTCTGTTCTCTCTGAAGCTCAGATGATAAGTGACCAAAATTCCACACTGAAAGGAGCAGGCTCAGGTCCTCCTCTGGTGGAAAGTTTCCTCAAGGCTTTCTGCCTGTGTGTCCAATTGTTATTTGTT